TGGAGAAAAAAAATATTCTCAATTTGAGAGGAATTCTTTACTGTACACATTTAATAAGAAAAATTACATTTGAAATCAAAAAATTCTTTTGCTTTTGAGAATATTTGTATTAAACTTATTATTTCCTATGATAAAGAGGAAAATATTCTCAATTTGAGAGGAATTATTTACTGTACAAATATAATAAGAAAAATATTTTTCATTTGAAATTAAATGATTTCTCTGCTGTTAAAAATATTTGTATTTAATTTATTGTTATCTACGATGAAGAGGAAAATATTCTCAATTTGAGAGGAATTCCTTAGTAAACATATGTAACAGAAAAAAATTGTGTTAAAAACTAAAGAATTTTTTTGTGTATAATATATTTAGTACATTATTAAGAATATTTGTATTTAATTTATTATTACCTATGATAAAGAGGAAAATATTCTCAATTTGAGAGGAATTATTTACTGTACAAATATAATAAGAAAAATATTTTTCATTTGAAATTAACTGATTTCTCTGCTGTTAAAAATATTTGTATTTAATTTATTGTTATCTACGATGAAGAGGAAAATATTCTCAATTTGAGAGGAATTCCTTAGTAAACATATGTAACAGAAAAAAATTGTGTTAAAAATTAAAGAACTTTTTTGGTATATTATATTTAGTACATTATTAAGAATATTTGTATTTAACTTATTATTACCTATGATAAAGAGGAAAATATTCTCAATGTGAGAGGAATTCTTTACTGGACATATATATGTAATAGGAAAAATATTTTTCATTTGAAACTAAATGATTCCTCGGCTATAGAAAATATTTGTATTTAATTTATTGTTACCTACGATGAAGAGGAAAATATTCTCAATTTGAAAGAAATTCCTTAGTATATAGTATATGTAATAGAAAAAAAATTGTGTTGAATAGTAAAGGACTTGTGTGTGATTAAGTTTCTACTTAACTTATTATTATTTACGATTGGAGAAAAAAAATATTCTCAATTTGAGAGGAATTATTTACTATACAAATATAATAGGAAAAATATTTTTCATTTGAAATTAAATGAGGAAGAACTCTTCACTCTTGAAGAATTGGAAGCAGCAGGTAGAAGATTGAAGACAGGCAAGGCGCCTGGAATCGATGGGATAAGCAACAAGATCCTAAAAGAGGTGATTGTTGTTTCCCCCCAGATTTTGCTGGACATCTTCAATCGCTGCCTAGAGAGAGGAGAGTTCTTTCCAGACTGGAAGAGGCAAAGGCTGGTCCTCCTAAGAAAGGGAGACAAACCTCTAGATAAGGTCTCATCCTACAGGCCTATATGCCTGTTGGATACGATGGGCAAACTTCTAGAGGACATGGTTCTGCAGAGAATGCAATCTCACTTGACCGGAGAGAATAGTCTATCCGATAACCAATTTGGATTCCGCAAAGGTCGGTCCACAGTTGATGCCATAAAGGCAGTTGTGGACCTCGCCAGAGAAGGGAAAAACAAATTGGGTCCAGATAAGAAGAAGAGCTTCTGCGCGTTGGTAGCAATAGACATACGGAACGCGTTCAATTCCGCGAGATGGGAAGATCTCATCGAGTCGATGATACAGAAGGGTATACCGCCCTACCTGTTGCGGATAATGGATAATTATCTAAGCGACAGGTGGGTTATTTACGAGGGAGACACCTGCATTCTCAAGGAAGAGATGCAGCGTGGGGCCCCTCAAGGCTCGAGGGTAGGACCATTTTTATGGAATGTATCTTACGATGACTTCCTGAGAATGGACCTGCCCGAAGGTGCGGTGATCGTCGGCTTTGCGGACGACGCGTTGATCGTGTGCACTGCCGACTCGGCGGAAGCTCTGGGGACATTGGTGAACGAATGTCTGCGGCTAGCAAAATGCTGGCTGGAAACCAGAGGTCTTCAAATGGCCCTGGAAAAGACCGAAGCATTGCTGGTCACAGACAGACGTGGTTATACATCCCCACGAATCGTGATAGACGAATTCGAGGTCAAGTGGAGGAGACAGATAAAGTACCTTGGTGTGGAATTGGATGGAAGGTTAAATTTCCATCACCACATGGCTACGGCGTCAAACAAGGCGATTGAATGTGCGGCTAATCTAGCACGGGTGATGCCAAATGTTGGAGGCCCCCGTGAGAAGAAAAGGAGACTGGTGGCGAGTGTCGCCCACGCTAAGTTGCTTTACGCAGCACCAGCGTGGGCCCCCTCCCTGAGAACAAACAGATGTTCAACCATCTGTAAAAAGATGCTGTCCGCGCAGAGATGCATTACTTCACGTATTGCCTCTGCTTATCGGACAGTATCTACGAGCGCTGTGCAGGTCCTTGCAAGTGTCCCGCCAGCAGATCTTTTGGCGCTTGAGAGGGAGGAAATTATCCTCCTTCTCAAAGAGGCGAATTCCTCTGAAGAGGAAGATCGACCCAGCAAGGACCGCATCCGCTTCGAAGCGAGGCACAGGCTCGTCGAAAAATGGCAACGAAGATGGGACGGGGAGGTAAAAGGTCGATGGACTTATCGCCTTATACCGACACTCGCCACTTGGTTAAGTAGGAACCATGGAGAGGTCTCCTACTACTTGACACAAGCGCTGACAGGTCACGGATGTTTTAATTCGTACCTGCAGCGCTTTAAGAAGAGAGATAGTGAGGCGTGTGCTTACTGCCAGTTCCCTGTGGACAACGCAGAGCACACCCTCTTTGCCTGCAGTCAATGGGACTTGGAGAGGCAGGCCATGTTCACCGGTGTAAACACTACAGTTACACCGGAGAACATGGTAGCGCTGATGATCCAGTCCCAGGAAAACTGGCGGCTCATCGAGACCTTTATCATCTCTGTTATGATGAGAAAGGATCTCGATGGCCGCAGAAAGGCGTAATAAACAGTATACAGTTTTTATTTATTTTATTTATTTATTTGTTCATTTTATTATTTATTTTGTCTTTTATTGTCTTTTTACAAATTTCTGTTTATTTATTTTAGTCTTTTTACACTTTTATGTTATATTTTGTTTGTTCATTTGTCTTTTTACAATTTTATTTTTGACTTTTGTTTTATTTACTTTTATTTTATTTATTGACTTTTTATTATTTTCTTTTCTGGTGTGCTGTTGATTCCGCTTGACATTGATTTTGTTTTAAAATTGATAACGCAGGAAGGCCGCAGGAATGGACGAAGTCGCTTTTGCGACAGAGTTGGAGCGCCACCCTCGAAGGCAAAAGTCTTCACGACGGTACCGAGGGTGGATCAAAGGGCTCCCAAGAAGGGTTGACGGGTTTTAGTGGGTCGGGGCTGGTAGTAGTTCGCCAGCTTATTTTGTTTATTGTTCTCCTTTTTTTTTTTTTTTTTTTTTTTTTTTTTTTTTTTTTTTTTTTTTTTTTTTTTTTTTTTTTTTTTTACCAACCCCACATAACCTTGGCATGCGGAAGCCAAGGTATCTGTATACAGATTTTCCCAATAGTCCCTAAGCAAAAAAAAAAAAAAAAAAAAAAAAAAAATCTCAATTTTAGAGGAATTTCTTAGAAAATCATATGTAATAGAAAAAAAATTGTGTTGAATAGTTAAGTATTTCTGTGTGATTAAGATTCTACTTAACTTATTATTATTTACGATGGAGAAAAAAAATATTCTCAATTTGAGAGGAATTCTTTACTGTACACATTTAATAAGAAAAATTACATTTGAAATCAAAAAATTCTTTTGCTTTTGAGAATATTTGTATTAAACTTATTATTTCCTATGATAAAGAGGAAAATATTCTCAATTTGAGAGGAATTATTTACTGTACAAATATAATAAGAAAAATATTTTTCATTTGAAATTAAATGATTTCTCTGCTGTTAAAAATATTTGTATTTAATTTATTGTTATCTACGATGAAGAGGAAAATATTCTCAATTTGAGAGGAATTCCTTAGTAAACATATGTAACAGAAAAAAATTGTGTTAAAAACTAAAGAATTTTTTTGTGTATAATATATTTAGTACATTATTAAGAATATTTGTATTTAATTTATTATTACCTATGATAAAGAGGAAAATATTCTCAATTTGAGAGGAATTATTTACTGTACAAATATAATAAGAAAAATATTTTTCATTTGAAATTAACTGATTTCTCTGCTGTTAAAAATATTTGTATTTAATTTATTGTTATCTACGATGAAGAGGAAAATATTCTCAATTTGAGAGGAATTCCTTAGTAAACATATGTAACAGAAAAAAATTGTGTTAAAAATTAAAGAACTTTTTTGGTATATTATATTTAGTACATTATTAAGAATATTTGTATTTAACTTATTATTACCTATGATAAAGAGGAAAATATTCTCAATGTGAGAGGAATTCTTTACTGGACATATATATGTAATAGGAAAAATATTTTTCATTTGAAACTAAATGATTCCTCGGCTATAGAAAATATTTGTATTTAATTTATTGTTACCTACGATGAAGAGGAAAATATTCTCAATTTGAAAGAAATTCCTTAGTATATAGTATATGTAATAGAAAAAAAATTGTGTTGAATAGTAAAGGACTTGTGTGTGATTAAGTTTCTACTTAACTTATTATTATTTACGATTGGAGAAAAAAAATATTCTCAATTTGAGAGGAATTATTTACTATACAAATATAATAGGAAAAATATTTTTCATTTGAAATTAAATGATTCCTCTGCTGTTAAAAATATTTGTATTTAATTTATTGTTATCTACGATGAAGAGGAAAATATTCTCAATTTGAGAAGAATTCCTTAGTAAACATATGTAACAGAAAAAAATTGTGTTAAAAACTAAAGAATTTTTTTGTGTATAATATATTTAGTACATTATTAAGAATATTTGTATTTAATTTATTATTTCCTATGATAAAGAGGAAAATATTCTCAATTTGAGAGGAATTCGTTAGTTGTGTTTATGTAATAGAAAAAGAGATTAAATTTAAAGAATTTCTTTGTTATAAATGAATATTTACATTTTCGGTGTGTGTGTTTGTGTGTGTTTAGATGATATGATGCACAGACATAAATCTTTAGAGTGCAAATTTCTCTGTTTGACTCTGGGTCACGGTCGTTGGGGCACCACTCGTTGGACGAGTATTTCCTCGTTCACCCAAGTCTCTCACACGTTCTTCACCGCACAAACGATACCGTTCCCCACCTGAACTTCCGGTAATCCTAAGAGAGACAGTATAAATATAGCCAGAAAGGCTTCACATATATATGACAGTATCTTCAAGTCTGTCTTGTGGATCACAAGGAAGTCAGGAAGTTCCTTGACTTTATGGTGGTGCCAATCACGAGACATAATGGCACCAAAACTCACCGTAAGCACACACAAAACACAAAAAACTTTTTTTTTTTCTAATAAAACAATGTTTTTTTTTTTTTTGTTATATCGTGATTAAAACAAAAAAAATTTCAAAAACAAATTAATTCAAAATGATTGGATTTTTTAAAAGTGTGAAAAAAATTTTTATTTTTAATTTTCTGAAAAACTAAAATGTGTTTTCATGTAATATTATACGAACAGTGAAGTGTCTGACCAAAAACTCTGTTACTACTGATACGATGGACTATTACTTTTTTTTTTATTGTCGTTGCTGTTGATTCTTTTTCAATAAATGAAATTGAATTTCAAATTTTTTTTTTTATTTTAGTATAGAAAAAAATTGTTTATTTGTAGTTATTTTAAATATTCGCTTTTATTGATAAAATACTATATTTTGTTTAAAGAAAAAGTTTTTTGATTCAAAGAAATGTTTTTTTTTAAAATTTTTTTAATTGAAAAAAGTATTTTTTAAAAATTTTTTAATATTAGAATTTCTTTGATTCAAAGAAATCGTTCTTAGAGCAGAAGAAAAAATTCTGTTTTGTTTTTTATGGTACTAAAAAATTTGAAAAACTATTTTTATTTTAGTTTTTTTTTTTTTTACTAAAACATCACAAAATTTTAATTATATTTAATAATGATATAAAATAGTAATTAAATTATTGATTATATTTATTTATGATATAATTAAATTATCGTGATAATATAATTAAATTATTTTTTATATTTAATTATGCAGGGAAAAAAATCTTTACCTGGAACAGCGATATGTTTTACTAAAACAGCGAAAATTTTCTCTATTCTAGAGAAATATATCTCTGTTCCAGATAAAGATTTTTTTCTATGTGTCATTAAATTTGTTTTTATAGATAGATTTTATTTTTTCATTGTGTACTTTTTACAAAGTTTTACAATTTTTTCTTTCCCACTAGTTTTTAAATTATTTTTTATATTTAATGATTTATTATAATTATTAATTATATTTAATTATGTTATGATTAAATAATTAAAAATAAAAAAAAAATAATTAAAAATAAAAAAAAATTAATAATGATAAAATAATTAAATATTCAAAGTAATTTCCTAGTTTTATACATTTGAATGAAATTGATTTAATTATTTTTTTAATTTATATGTTAAAAAAATACTTTTGTTGAAAAGATTTTTTTTTATTTTTAAATTAAGTAAATGTTTCTTTAACTCTATATACGAATATTTAGAATTTCTTTGATTTAATGAAAAAAAGTTTTTGAATTAAAAACTAACTAAAAAAAAATTTTTTTAAAATTTATTTTAAATCAAAATTAATCAAAAAAAAAATTGATTTCTTTAAATTAAAAAAAAAAATTTCTTGTTTTATTAAAGAAATATAGAACTATTGTTAAATTAAAATTTATATTATTTAAATCGAGTATTTTTTTTTATTATTATTGAATTTTATAATAAAAAAAATAAAGAATTATAAATAATTCCACCTAAAAGTAAAATAATTCACAAAAACTGAAATATTTAATGGAAAAGTAATCTTCATTTTTTATGGGAGAAATAAACTTTTAATTTGACAATGAAAGAAAAAAAAAAATTTTCATTCTGTTTCAGCTTAAATGTCTAATACTTGCTACAGCGATAGCAACTGTTTCTGCCACATTTGGGAAAGAACAGTAAGCAATTATTTTTTAACAATAACTTTTTTTTTTATATAAACAATTTGGAAACGGAATAAAATTGCAAGATTATAAAATATATATATATATATATATAAAGAATTTTTACGACTACTGTGTGGATAGTAAAATGAAAATGTGAAAGCTAAAATGTATTTTAAAATTATTTATTATAGAAACTAGTTGTTTTTTAGTCTCACCTGTTGATTGGAAATTGTAATATATATAAAGTTCATTAAAAAAAAATCAAAAAAAGAGATAATGAGGAAAAAGTAAATTAGAAGTTTTTAATTACAATTTTATAAATATTTTGAATTACATTGTAAATAATAAATTATCACTATTATATGAAACTAAAGAGTGTTAAAAAATTAAATTAAAAAATAATTAAAATATTAAAATTATTGTTATTGCTAATTATTCGTTATTATTCGTTCGTTCGTTATTATTATTATTATTATTATTATTATTATTATTATTATTATTATTATTATATTGTAATATAAAATATTTACAAGACATGGACAATGCATTCACTGAATAATAATAATAATAATAATAATAATTACACTGAAAAAAAATTTATTTGATTGATCAAATAAATATTTACTTGAACCGAATAATTTTTATTTGAATTAAATAAATTGTATTGGAAAAAATAATTTTTGTACTTGTAATAAAATAAATAAAAATATAAATTTTTGATTTAAAAAGAAAAATTAAAATAATTAAAACAAAAATTTTAATTGTAAAGAACAATTTTGAAATAAAAAATATTTTTTTTCCAGCGTACATATAAGAATACATTTAAAAGAACCAGAACACCATGAATCAAAAATAATTCAATCTCACGATGACCATGGTCATGGGGGCGGTGGAGGATATGGAGGAGGAGGAGGAGGAGGTGGTGGCGGGGGAGGTCACATAGAATTTACGAGTCCAGGAGGTGGAGGAGGCTTTGGAGGCGGTGGCCACGATGATTTCGGTGGAGGATTTGGAGGTGGTGATTTCGGCGGAGGCCACGGTGGAGGTGGGGGCGGTGGTTACGGTGGAGGAGGAGGAGGTGGTGGACACGGAGGAGATGATTTCGGAGGTCATGGTGGAGGAGGTGGTTTCGGAGGATATGGGGGTGGAGGAGGAGGAGGTGGACACGGAGGAGATGATTTTGGAGGCCACGGTGGAGGCGGTGGCTTCGGAGGACACGGAGGAGGAGGAGGAGATGATTTTGGAGGCCACGGTGGAGGCGGTGGTTTCGGAGGATACGGAGGAGGAGGAGGCGGTGGTGGTGGAGGACACGGAGGAGGATTCGGAGGTAAATTTTCCTAAACAGTTAGCAAAGTTGGTTAACTAGAACGAAAAAAATATTTATTAAATTTCAATTGTAGGTGGACATATTATAATCAGTGACATAGGAGGTGGAGGCGGTGGTCACGGAGGTGGACATGGAGGAGGCGGTGGTTTTGGAGGCGGACACGGAGGAGGTGGTTATGGAGGCGGTGGAGGACATGGAGGAGGTGGTTTCGGAGGCGGTGGCGGTCACGGAGGAGGTGGTTATGGAGGCGGCGGTGGACACGGGGGAGGAGGAGGTCATGGAGGCGGCGGAGGACACGGAGGAGGTGGTCATGGAGGCGGCGGAGGTCACGGAGGAGGTGGTTATGGAGGCGGCGGAGGAGGTGGTGGATTTGTAGTCAGTTCTAGCTTCGGAAGTAGTGGTTATGGAGGCGGTGGTCACGGAGGTGGAGGTGGAGGTGACGACCATTCTTACGCATCCAGTGGCCTTTCTTCTGGTTTTGGAAGCAGGTAAATCTTTTTGTTTTTTCTTCTTCTTTCTTTTTTTTGGTTTTCTTCTTTTCAAAATATTCCTTGGATCCAAAATCACAAAAAAAAATATTTTTTTCAGCGGTCACGGATCTTCGGGACTCGGAAGTTATTCGGGAGGACATGGAGGTGGATCTTCGTTCAGTGGAGGGGATTCATATTCAAGCGGACATGGATCGTCATTTGGAGGCGGAGGTGGAGGCCATGGGGGTGGAGGTTCTTACTCGGGAGGTCACGGGGGTGGGGGATCATTCTCGGGAGGTCACGGAGGCTCATTTGGAGGCGGTGATTCCTACTCCATTGCTCACAGTGGAGGTTCGTCGTTCGGTGGTGGATACTCTGCACCCTCTGGAGGTGGAGGAGGAGGAGGAGGCGGCGGCCATGGTGGATTTGCTGGTTACCCATAGAGATTAATTTATAATTTTGTAAAATTAAATTTTCTCTCAAAAGAGAATTTCTTCAAAGACTTTTTTGTAAACAGAAATTAGATTTAAATTCTACTTTCGAGTTTTTGCAATTTTAGATGTAAGTTATTTTTTTTTAGTAAACATCCCCATTAATTTAGTAAATTAATTGTTTTCTACTGTTCTATTTTAACAATTATTGTATGACTCGATTTTGATTGTATTTTTTTTTAATTTTAGTGCATTCGCACTATGAATTTTTGTTTCTATATGAAACATCTAGGAAGAGGAATTGTTTAAATTTGAAAATAGAAATTCTTTTTTCTAGATGTTTTATTAATTTATTATTATTTTTTTTAGGATTGACAATTTTCATCTAATAATTTATTATTGACTTTGCTTGAATAAGCTATTGTTACATGTAATTTTCGTAGTGCTTGCATATTTTGATGATTCTTTTTTTTTTTGTTACTGTCGGTTTTTTTTTGTGTTCTTGTTTCTTTTAGAACAAAATGTGTTGACGAGAAACGCAGTCGTTTCAAAAGATGTGATAAACAACATTGTTGTTTCCGCCAAACTGTTTTTATTTTTTATAGAATACTTTTTCTGTAAATATTTCTGCTTTTGCAGCGTTGCTTTTTGTAATAAAACATTTACAATTTCTAATTCTTGTGTTTTATTAAAAATTAAATTAACAAATGACATTATATTATATAATAATAGAATATATATTATATATTAAAAATATATTATATTATATAGCATACATTTTTTTTAAAGAAATAAAATCAAATGATCCTGAATTTCTTTAATGTTTCCTACTGGAATAAAAATCATTAAATTGTCCTTTAAAAAGTTTTATTTTCTTCATATGTACAATTTTTTTTTTGCAAATTAAACGAATTATCGATTAAACTATAAATTATAGGTATTTTGTCGATTCTTTTAATGAAACATTATTATTCTCTGTTTAGAAATACAATTTGCGATAATTTTCTAACAGAGATATAAATTTTTCTAAAAAAAAAAAAAATATTATGGTATATCTGATTTCTGCATAATATGTGCAATTTCACTATAAGTATAGCCTATTATAGAGTTGTTTCAATGTAGGAAAAATATTTTTGAAAAAAAACCTAATAGAAAAAAATTTTTTCTTTTTAAAAAAAATCTTGAGTTATAAAATTGTAATTGGCTTTTGTATTGTTGAATCAATACATTATATATACTCATAGGAGCAAGTGAAAAGCCTGTATGTTATAAAATGTATTCACGGAAAAAGTGAAAGGGATGATCATGTAGGAAGAGGATTTCTCTCATTTTTGCGAGGTTAACCTAACATTGAAATTGACCTTATGAGATTCACTTTCAGGATTTTATTAATGTCAAGGTTGTTGACCGGGTGAGAAAATTTACCGGTTTTTTTATTTTTTTTTTTTTTTAATTATTAATTTTAGTACATTATTGTACGTAGATTATTATTACAAAAATAATAGAAAACCAAAAAAAAAATTTATTTGATTTAAATACTCAATTACTGGACTATTATCAAATAAATATTTACTTGAACCAAATAATTTTTATTTGAATTAAATAAATTTGATTTGATACAAATAAAAATATTTATATTTGATAATAGTCGAGTAATCGAGTATTTGAATTAAATTTTTTTTCAGTGAACCAATTTTATTTTTCTAGAATAACTTTTATTAATTCTGATTAAAAATTAATCAGCAATTTGAAAACAATTATATACCTTTTTTAAATAATTTACTTTAAAATCATTAATTAACTTTCATTCAAGATTGGTGAAACCTAGTTGCAGTTTAGCTATGTATATATTTGAAACAAAGGAACAATTAAATGTAATCAAGTTTCTCGTTTTGAATATTTCAGTTATCGAAACACGTAATATAAAATAGGAAAAATTGTTACGCAAGTTTATGTCATTTTGCGTACAAAATGTAAAATATTGCTAAAACAGTAACACAAGAAATGAGACAAAAAAATGATCGGGTTAACAATTTTTAGTGCGGCATTTCTTTTTGTTTCTAACAATGGCGTAGTATTTAAACAATTCAAAATTTATAAATAATAATAATAATTGGTAAATTATTACTCATTATTATTATTATTAATACTTATTAATTATTTTTATTATTAAGTATTCTTATTATAAAGCATTTTTATTATAAAATGTATTTTTATTCCTAAGTGTTTTTATTATTAAGTATTTTTATTATTAAATATATTTTAATATTTAAAAAATTAACAAGATAGTAAAAAATTTTGGAAAAATAAAAATATAAAAATTATCGACTTCAAAATCTACCTTAACGACTGATGGTAAAGAAAACGCCTAGAATTTTCTACAAATATTTAACATCAGTCGGTTAGGTAGATTTCTATGTCGGCAAATTTTTTATATTTTCATTTTGCAATAAAAACTGTTTTACCATCAATCGGTAAGGTAGATTTCTATATAGGTAATTCTTACCTTTTTGTTTTTTTTTAATTTACCATCACTCGGTTAATTAGATTTCTATGTAGGCAATTTTTTATATTTCCATTTTCCAAAAAAAACTTTTACCATCAATCGGTAAGGTAGATTTCTATATAGGTAATTCTTACCTTTTTGTTTTTTTTAAATTTACCATCACTCGGTTAGTTAGATTTCTATGTAGGCAATTTTTTATATTTTCATTTTCCAAAAAAAACTGTTTTACAATCAATCGGTAAGGTAGATTTCTATATAGGTAATTTGTACCTTTTTTGTTTTTAAGAAATTTACCATCAGTTGGTAAGGTAGATTTCTAGGTCGGTAATTATTTAAATATTCATTTTTCAAAATTTTTACCATTTGTCGGTAAAGTAGATTTTTAGGTCGGTAATTATTTATTTTTCAAAATTTTTACCATTTCTCGGTAAGGTAGATTTCTAGGTCGGTAATTTTTTATATTTTTATTTTGCAATAAAAACTGTTTACCATCAATCGGTTAAGTAGATTTCTATATAGGTAATTCTTACCTTTTTGTTTTTTTTGAGAAATTTACCATCATTCGGTTAGGTAGATTTCTATGTAGGCAATTTTTTATATTTTCATTTTGCAAAAAAAAACTGTTTTACCATCAATCGGTAAGGTAGATTTCTATATAGGTAATTTGTATCTTTTTTGTTTTTTAAGAAATTTACCATCAGTTTGTAAGGTAGATTTCTAGGTCGGTAATTTTTTTATATTTTCATTTTTCAAAATTTTTACCATTTGTTGGTAAAGTAGATTTTTATGTCGATAATTTTTTATTTTTCAAAATTTTTACCATTTGTCGGTAAGGTAGATTTCTAGGTCGGTAATTTTTTATATTTTTATTTTTCAAATTTTTTTACCATTTTGTTAATTTTTGAAACATTAATATATATTTAATAATAAAAATATTTTATAATAAAAATACTTAATAATAAAAATATTTTATAATAAAAATACTTTATAATAAAAATACTTTATAATAAAAATACTTTATAATAAAAATACTTAATAATAAAAATATTTTATAATAAAAATACTTAATAATAAAAATATTTTATAATAAAAATACTTTATAATAAAAATACTTTATAATAAAAATACTTAATACGTGGGTTAACTGTATTTTCATTATTAAGTATTTTTATTATTAAATATTTATTTATTAATTATTTTTTACTATATTAATTTTTTGTATTTTTAGTACTTAGTATCTCGAACCTTGTATTGTGGATGCTGGGAGAGGAAATAAAATTATTATTATTATTATTATTAATTATTATTCTTTTTAATAACTAACAATAATTATTTATTTTATTATAATAATAATAATAAATTAATAATATATAATTATATATATTTATATATTTATTATAAAAGCGTTAAAAAAAAATATATTGCGGGAAACAAAATCAATAGCCAATTATAAAATCGGTGATTAGTGCATAATAATATGCGCCAATACATAATATTTCCGGTGTTAATCATTTCCGGTGTATTTTTCATTTTTAATCGAGCGAGAAATAGAGGAAAAAGTGAGAGTACTTCCTATACATCTTTGAATATAATTTGTATAAATCCGGTGCGTTTATCTTCTTGTATAGTTTCATCTGTATATATATATATATAGCATCGTTGAGAGTACACACACTCATAGAAAAAAAAATATATCTTTATCGTTTTGAAATCACTTCCTACATGTTCTACGACAATGCGTACTTCTTAAGCATGTATAATTGCATTAATAGTGAGATAGAGTGAGAGTGTGTCGAAAAAGTAGTGGGGTTTGGGAAAAATGTATATTATTTTCCATTGCTCGCGGAAAATGTTTACGTTTATATAAAGCCCGCAAAATGTTAATTCCCTTTTAGTATTTTACCGTATTCCCACGCTGATAAAACAAGAGCAATTTCAAAAAAAAAAATTTTTTTTGACAAATTTTTAACAATTTTCTCGGGGGTACTTTAAAAGAAAAATACAAAATATGGTTTATATTCGATTTCAGGTAAGTTGTATTATGTCAATTTTTTTTTATTTTAATAATATTTCGGATTTTTTTGTTCTTTTATTTATTTTTTATTTTTACACTTTTATTTTATTTTTTTTTAATTTTTACATCTTTCTATTATTTTTTTTATTTTTTAATTTTTACACTTTTTTATTATTTTTACAGGTTCTTATTATTTTTTTTAATTTTTGCACCTTTTTACTATTTTTTATATAAATTAATTTTCAAACTCGTTTCTTCATATTTGCGCATAAGAATAAAAATTTTCAGTTTAATTTGTTTTTGTTTTTTTAAATTAAATTATAATTTGATACTGGAAGTTATAATTATTAAAAACGCAAATAAAATTAATGGCTTTTTGTAATAAAAAATTAATAAAAATTATTTTTTTCACAAAAAAATAAATATAAATTAATAAAATAAAAAATTGAATACTATAAAAATAATATTTTTATAACTATATAAATATATTGAAAAACGTGATATACTCGATTTGAAATTTCTCTCTCAATGATTTTATGTATTAAAATTGTTATAAATTTTTAATCGCATCAAAAGCGCACTTTCTTCAATTACTTGAAATGCAAGTAGTAGTAAATAAACTTGAGAAATTGGAGAAAATAGCAAAACATGCCTATATGGCTTCTCCTCTCTTGGGAAATATTTATTTATATATATATAATTATTAGATAAACTCTCAATCATTATAATTAGTCTATTTCAACGAGGTAATAACAATAACCTCTTTGTCGTTAATCGCGAGACATCAAATTTATATATGGTTGTAATTTTCTTTTGTGTATTATATATTATTATACTTAACTTCTTCAGCTTCCAGAATTAACAGTGAATTTTTTTTTTCTCGGGAAATAATAATTATATTTATTTTTCTAATTAATAATTATATTAATTAAAAAAAAGTGCAATATATGTATACCATATTATTAAGGGGAGGGATCGGTGAAATTTCAACTCATTGAAATTAATGTTGTTAAAGGGTGTCGATTTTTTTTCTGGCATATTATTTTGAATCTCAAATTATTGTGAATTGTCAAAATTTAAAAAAAAAACATTTTTTGACTATTTTTAAAATTTTATTTTTGGAAAATATTAAATTTTTTCAAAATCCATACGATTGATTATTCCGAATCATGAATAAAACCTACAAAAAAAAATTACCGATAAAAAATAATAAAAATTGTAGAAGAAGTTGAATTTTTAAGGAATAATTTGATCAAATTGAAGCCAAACATAATTGTTTTGGTTTAGGGGTAACAATTTTTTTTTACAAATTTTTTTAAAACCTGAAATCATATTTCACTAAAAATGAAAAAAAAAGTTATTTTGAAAAAATTTTGTATTTTTTTTTATTTTGAAAAAATTTTATTTTTTAAAAATTTAAATTTTTTTAAAATCCATACGATTGATTGTTCAGAATCTTGAAAAAAGTGTATTAAAAAAAATCAGCAATGAAAAACAATAAAAATTGTGACAGAAGTTTAAATTTTTAGTTTTTGAAAATTTCGAGTTTTATTTTAAAAATTATTAATAAATTAATTGTTTATCAATTTAATTTAATTTTAATATAGTATATTAAAGTTTTAAATACTCAATATTAACTTAAAAAATAAATTGACAACCTGAAATAGCCTCAATTTTGAAAGGTTGAAATTTCGGCGGCCCCTCCCCTTAATTAAAACTATAGATTATAATTTTTAATTTAAATATTGAGGAAAATCTTTTTTAAAAAATTTTTGTTTGGTTTTTTTAGCAACGAAACTTTTTTTTCTATTTTTATTTAATATTACGAAAAAAAAGTAATTTCTTAATTTTTCCAAAAAAAAAACTTTTTTCAATTTTTTTCTAATATATGAAAAAATTTTGATTTTTTTTTTAATTTTTTAAAATATATTTTTTTTTGGAATTACAGGTTATTTTCGTGATGATTTTTGCTTTGGGATTAATATCAGCCATGCCTCATCCGTCAGATCAGTGAATATATTTTAATTCTTGTTATAATTTTTTTTGTTTTTTTTTCACAAATTCTTTATTAATTTTTTTCATTTTTTTTTTAGCACTCACATTAAAATTCACGTACCATCCTATCATCACACTCACAAGCATACAATTCTAAAGAAGATCTACATTCCTGTGAAAGTAAAGAGTGATCATCATCATCATCATAAACATTGGTGAAGAGTAGATTAAAAAAAAAAAAGAAAAAGAAAAAAATTGTCAAGTCGGAAAAATTTATAATCATCCATGTAAATATTTATTGTAGTAGCACTTGTAATTAGGAATTTCCATAATATATAATAATATAGGTATATAAATAATTTTTTTTTTTTATCACCGTTGACTTTCACTAGATATTTAATTATTATTATTATAAACACAAAGTTCTTTATCTTATTTAAAGAATTTCAAATCTACATTTTATTTGAACAATTAATTATTTAAATCGTAAAATTTTAATTAGTTCAAATGTATAATTAAATCAAATTGCATTTGGAAATTTCTTTATAATATATATTATTATAATGAAAATTGTCAATAAATTTATTTATTGAGTTCCATATATTTATTCCATTACCAGTGAATATATATTTTTTTATTCGAAATATAAATTTTTGTATTATATAATTTTATATATTATATAAATTTTTTCCATTATTTTTATATTATATTTTTAATATATTTTTTTATATATATTTTTATATTTATATATAATATATATTTGCAATTTTTTTAATAGTAATAATAATAATAGTGATAGGTAATTAAGAAATATATTTTTTTTTATAAAAAAGAGTGCTTTATTTATATAATCTATGCATGCAAAAATAAATTTTATATTTATATATAAATATGTATATATTTATAAATAAACATAAAACTTATATAGGTATATAAATTCATATGTACAATTATTTAATAATCAGTGAATTTGTTTACGAATTAATCATTCGTGCATCATCGTGACTTATAATTAAATTCTTAATTAATACTATATCTTAGCTGCGGACGATTTTTATCACCTTGTTTTTATTTTTTTTTAATTTTTTTTTTTTTTGAGGTTTTGACTGGATTTTTGAAAATTTCTTTGAAGTTGCAATATTTTTCATCTTGTTGGCAAGACTTTTTTTTGAGAACGAATCACCTAAAAATTTCAAATAATTATTATTTAAATTTTTTATTTTTTAGTTTATACTTTTTTTAATAATACCAAAAAGTACAAAAAAAGTAAAAGTAATTTTATTATTTTTAAAATTCGTAAATATTTCTCAATTAAAAAAAAAAAAAAAAAAAAATTACGTACAGTCAAACCTGGATAAGTGAGACGCCTCTATAAACGAGATTTACTCTTATCATTTTTAATTGTAAAATTTTCTGCAAATGGGAAAAATTTTTAATAAATGAAAACCCTTTTTTAGTTTTTTTTTTGTAACCCTTTTTTCTCTGTTAATGGGACTCTCGTTTTGTCAAGGTTCAACTGTACTCTTAAATAATTAAATAAATAAATAATAATTAAATAATTAATTTATTAATAATTATTCATAATTTGTACCATCAGTCGGTTAGATAGATTTCTATGTCGGCAATTTTTTATATTTTCATTTTACAAAAAAAAAATGTCTTACCATCAATCGGTAAGGTAGATTTCTAGGTCGGTAATTTTTTATATTTTCATTTTTCAAAATTACGTACAGTCAAACCTGGATAAGTGAGACGCCTCTATAAACGAGATTTACTCTTATCATTTTTAAATGTAAAATTTTCTGCAAATGGGAAAAATTTTTAATAAATGAAAACTCTTTTTTAGTTTTTTTTTTGTAACCCTTTTTTCTCTGTTAATGGGACTCTCGTTTTGTCAAGGTTCAACTGTACTCTTAAATAATTAATTAAATAAATAAATAATAATTAAATAATTAATTAATTACTAATTATTTATAATTTGTACTTATGTAATAAAAATTCGGAAATAATTAAAAATTCTTATTTATCGCTATTGAATATACATAATATTGTATTTGAAAATATAAAAATTCGCTTTCGTGATTTGTGGATAATTTTTTTTTTCTTTTTTTGCATAAAGTAACTTCCTTTCGCTTGAAAATACCTCGCGCGAAGCATCATGTATATCGTGATATGACTCACTTGGGAAGAGTTGTGTATATTCAATTTAAGTATATGTGTAAATGGATAAAAATTGTTCACCGGAAGAGAATACAAAAGGGAAAGTCGAAAAGTATACTAATATTACAAGACTCAGTATCTATGGTAGAAAAAAGGGGTGGGGGGGAAATGTGGATAAAAAACCAATACCGGTCCATTTCAATTAGAATATTACACAAATCGAAATATATTTTTTTTTTTAAATAGAAAAATTATCATTAATTAATAATTTTTTAATAACAATAAAAACTTATTAATTATTAATTTTTTACTAACAATAAAAACTTATTACACTCAGAGAAATGGGATATTTTTCTCCGAGCCTACTAACTCATTTATTTGTTGCAAATATATTTTATTTCATTTAAATAAAAAATTTATTTGATCCAAAGAAAAATTTATTTCTAACAAATAAAATTTTTATTTACGCCAAATAAATAAGTTAGTAGGCTCTGAGACAAATATTTGTTTATTTAATTCAAATATATTTTATTTGATTCAAATAAATCATTTCTCTGGGTGTAATTAATAATTTTTTTAGTAACAATAAAAACTTATTAATTAATAATTTTTTTAGTAACAATAAAAAAATGTTAATTAATTAATGCTTTTAGTGACAATAAAACAATGATGAATACTAATAATTTTTCAATAGCTATAAAAAATAATTAATTAATTTAGGTTTTTTACGATAAAAAATGATTAATAAATAATTTTTTAGTAATTAATAATTATTATTAATAAAGTTTTTTGTAACAATAAAAATTATAATTTAATAATGTTAATTAAAAAAAAAACAATATATCATTAATTTTTATAATATATTTAAAAGTAAATTTAAAAAAAAAAAAAAATACTTACTTTTGGTATAAATCTTTTTTTATTTTTATTTTTGAGAAAGATCAGTCTCAATCCCACCATCCTCCATGGGATCCATGGTGTTCTGGAATCTCGTGTTTTTCGTGAATTGGAACAGGCACGTATTCTTTTTCGACTACTTTGTATGGTACTGGAACGTGAACCTTTTCAACATGATGAACTGGTACATGAACGGGTACATGAACCTTTTCAACATGATGAACTGGATAGGGAATTTTTTTCACATGATGATGATGGACCGTGTGCACATGATAGGGCACGTGAATTTTCACGCTAAAAAAAAATTATTTTTTCGTTAATTTTCTTTGATATTTTTTTTTTAAATAATTTATTTACATCGATTTATAATAAAAATATATTTTTTATTATTTATTTTGTATTCTTAAAACAAGTTTATATAAATATTTAATTAATTATTAAAAAATTAGTTAGTTAATTACCTATAAATTAGTTAAATAATTGGTGAAAAATTTATTAAATAATTGGTAATAAATTAGTTAATTAATTACTAGGTAATAAATATTTAATTAATTATTAATAAAATAAGTTAGTTAATTAATAATAAATTTTTTAATTAATTACTAATAAAGTAGGTAATTTATTACTAATTACTTTGGTAATTAATTACTAATTCATTAGATAATTAATTACTAATAAATTAAAAAAATTAATTACTAATATAATTGGTAATTAATTACTAATAAATTAGTTAGTTAATTACCTATAAATTAGTTAATTAATTGGTGAAAAATTAATTAAATAATTGGTAATAAATTAGTTAATTAATTGGTGAAAAATTAATTAAATAATTGGTAATAAATTAGTTAATTAATTACTAGGTAATAAATAGTTAATTAATAATTAATAAAATAAGTTAGTTAATTGATAATAAATTTTTTAATTAATTACTAATAAAGTAGGTAATTTATTACTAATTACACTTTGGTAATTAATTACTAATGCACTTGATAATTAATTACTAATAAATTAGGAAATTAATTACTAATAAATTAGTTAGTTAATTACCTATAAATTAGTTAATTAATTGGTGAAAAATTAATTAAATAATTGGTAATAAATTAGTTAATTAATTACTAGGTAATAAATAGTTAATTAATAATTAATAAAATAAGTTAGTTAATTGATAATAAATTTTTTAATTAATTACTAATAAAGTAGGTAATTTATTACTAATTACACTTTGGTAATTAATTACTAATGCACTTGATAATTAATTACTAATAAATTAGGAAATTAATTACTAATAAATTAGTTAGTTAATTACCTATAAATTAGTTAATTATTTAGTGAAAAATTAATTAAATAATTGGTAATAAATTAGTTAATTAATTACTAGGTAATAAATAGTTAATTAATAATTAATAAAATAAGTTAGTTAATTGATAATACATTTTTTAATTAATTACTAATAAAGTAGGTAATTTATTACTAATTACTTTGGTAATTAATTACTAATACATTTGATAATTACATAATTACTAATAAATTAGGAAATTAATTCCTACTATAATTGGTAATGAATTACTAATAAATAAGGAAACTAATTACTACTAAATAAGGTAATTAATTACTACTAAATATGAAAATTAATTACTAAATAATTAGTTCATTAAGTAAACTTGATAATTTATAATTAATAATACTAATTATTAGTAAAATTAATCGATAGCTATAAATTAAATTAAAATTAATTAATAAAAACTAATTAATTAATTTACAAAATTTAGTTAAGTAATTTAAAAACATTAATTACTTAAATAAATTTTGTTAATTGGATTTTAGTTAGTTTAGTTTTTGTTAATTAATTAATTTTTATTTATTATTTCATTAAAATAGATACGATTAATTGAAATAAATATTGCGCTGATGAAAGTGATTACTTACTGATGATGACTGTGTCCATCTGGTGATGGAGCAGCAGTTGCTGCAGCAATAATTCCAAACACGATCAACTGAAACGTGACAGTGAATTTATAATGAATCACGAATTGCACGATGCAGTTTGTCACTTGTTATACAAGTTGTCTTAACAGTCTGTCAGTGTTAATTTCAATGCACAACAATTTTTCAATTTCTCTATTATCATTTTTTTTTCTCCCAAAATATCTTTCAATATCTCATGAAAAAAAATCTTAATTTCTTAATTATTTACCATTATTGAAAAAAAAATTTTAATAATTTTTTATTAAAATTTATTTATTGAAAAATACACCGGAAACAAATTAACATTGAAAATATTATTAGTTATTAAAAATAATAATAAACAAAAATAAAAAAAATAACAATGATTAATAATAAAATAATTTATAATAAAAATAATTACGAAAGGGTTTATTTGAAAACCGTATATGTTCGAAATAAATAAATAATTAATATAAAAAATACTTAATAGTAAAAATACAATTATTATAACAAAAAAAAAAGTATATTATTTATTATATTTTTATGAAAGCATATCTTTAACATTTTTTAATTAAAATTATTTTTTATGAAACTTTCCCACTGTCAATAAGTCAATATATTAAATTTCTCATTTCTATAACAAATTTTTTTTTCTGTTTTAAATTTAATGTTATTTGTTATTGATTATTTTGTTTTTTATTTTATTTATTCAGTACAAGGGGCAAGGAATATTAAATGTAATTCGTGAAATTAAAAATCTTTCTTAATGATACTTTTATAAGTAAATTGTGATATGGAAATATCAAATAAAATATATAAATAATTGACTTTTAAGTGCAAATGAAAATTGAAAGTTTTCTTCTCACTTTCATTCTATGCATCCATTAATTGAAATTATCTTTCCTAATCTAAATATTGGAAGTATATTTATCAATTTGTTATTATTTATTTATTTACTAATGTATTTATTTATTATTAATTTTTTATTATTATTATATTATTATTATTATTATTATTATTATTATTATTATTATCATTATTATTATTATTTTTATTCTTATTATTTTTATTGTACATGGAATAAATAATTTACTTTATTATTTTTTATTCAATGAGAATTATGCAGAAATTATTTATGGAAAATATTTTTTATTTATTATATTTTTTTTCAATATCTAAAAAAAGGCTTTATTTATTTTTTAATTAATAAACTATATCTATTTTTTTAAATTATAGCCTGTAAACATTTTTAAATAAATAAATAATTTATAAAAAAAATTAACATTAATGTTAATTATAGACCGTAAAAATTCTTAAATAAATAAATAAATAATTTAAAAAATTGACATTAGGTAATGTTAATTTATTTTTTTTTTAATTTTAATTTTTTTTTAAATTTATATATAATATATAATTTTGTACTCGTTGAATTGATTAGATTATAATTATATATATATTATTGGTTCCGATTGAGTTATGTGTGCGCATATACATACATTATAAAGTGATATAAGTGAAAATGTAAAGTGTAATAATGATGCTGTACGTCAAACATATATTCAGGAAGTTAAACAGGTATAAGTTCATTTCCGTATGTCTTGGATGATTCATTGAGGCATGAAAATTTATTTACTATAATAAGTAGAACAAATTTTTCTTCCGTATATTTTATATTATATTTTTCACAGATCATTATTATTTATTTCGTGAACTCTCTATTTCATTTTTAATTAAATTAAAAAAAAGAAATTATGTGTGTAACGACTTTCTTTGACGATGGTCATCAAAAATTTTTCAAGTGTATTACACAAAAGACTTCTTTTTTAAAAAAAAAAAAAAAAATTTTTTTTTAGAAAACAGTTATATAATATTTAATATCTCTATTCTTATTTATAATGCACATTACGTGCAGTGAAAGAAATGAGTTATTAAATTTTACTCAAGTCAATAAGTTTTTTTTTATAATTATTGCTTGTATTTGTATTTTGAAAATAAATTCAAAGGTAATAAAAAGTCTCGTATGGAACTTTTTTTCCTGGTTTTTTTTTTTAATGTTTTCGAAATTTAGAAAAATAATTTTGAAAAAATTTCAAAAAGAAACTAAAATTTATTTATTTTATTTTTATTATTATTATTATTATTTATTTATTTATTTATTTTATTATTTTATCAATAATTCTTTCTTTCAAATTGAAATATAAAAGTAAATGTTCAATTTATTATTTATTTATTTTACTTTATTATTTATTTAATTTATTATTATTTAAAACTTGAATAAATTTTATAATTTTTTTTTTCACTGCGTACTATTTCTTATCCTCCAAATTATAATTAATTAATTTCTTCGGTAATTAGACACACAACAAAAATTTATTAATTTATAAAACCAGTTTCTTTGCTTTTTGTCTCCTTCATTTGTTTCTATTTATTTATTTTTTAGTTACAACATTAATAATAATAATAATAATAATAATAAAAATAATTTTTTTTACGAGGGAAGTAAAAAATCTGCTTAATAAAATATTGTTTACTTTAAAGGAAATTTTCTTGAACAATATTTAAAAAAAAAAAAGATATTTTTCCCGTATGAAAACTAGAATATTTTGATTTTTAAAAAATATTCTTAGATTCAATAAAATCTGCTCTAGGATTTTTATTATTAAATCCTTTTTAATTTGATTTTTTTAATAATACTTTTTTAAAAAAATTCAATTTTTTTTATAATTTTTATATAAACGAAAAATAATAAATTATAAAAAATAAAATTTAAACAACCTACAGCTTAAAAATGATAATTATAATTTTTAAATTTTTTTAAGTGTAATTTTTGTAAAATAAAATAGTTTATATATTATTATTATTATTAATTAATTAATAATAATAATAATAATAATAATAATTTTTGATTTAACTATTACTAATTATATAAATAAGCAAATAATAAATAATAATATTATTGATAATACAGTGAAAAAGAATTATTTGGTTCAAATTAATATTTATGATACTCAAGTAAATTATTACTGGAATCAAGAAAATTTTGTTTTTCGTCAAAAATTTGTAAATTGTTATTATTTTTTAAAAAGAGTATTAAAATATTTTTAACACAATTTTCTTTACGTGTGTCAAGTGATAAATTTGGTCCACTATCTTTTTTTGAAAAAAAAACACTCCCGAATTAAATATAAACACTTTTTGGTAAACAATAATTTTAAATACAGTAAAACCTCTGATAATTGAAAAAAAAAATTTCTACTATTTTTTTTTTACAATTTGCAATTTGTTTAAAAATTCCAATCATTGAAAGAAATTTACAGGACTATTATTAATGATAAATTATCCTGTAAAAATAATTTTAAATTAATAATAATTAAATTAATTAATAATTTTAAATAATTAAAATTTATAATTTACAAAATTAATTAATTTATTTGTAATTTACGGGCAATGTAATTGCAATGCAATTTTTGCAAAATAAATAATAAAATAATTTATTTTGTTTATTTTTTTTTTAATAAAAATGAAATAAAATAAAAATAATAAATAAATAAATTAAAAATAATAAATAAATAATCTAGAAAAATAGTAAATAAAATAAATAAACAAAAAATTGAGATTCACTAAAAGGAGGTTTCACTGTATTTGAAAAAAAAAATTTTGAAAAAAAACCCGCGAATTTTTTTTACAAATTTTAAAAAATAATGAAAATGCAAAAAAAAAAATTACTCACAGTAATGGTGTGAGAGTGCATGGTTGGAGTATTTTAGTGATTCGTTTCCCGAACGCTGATACAGTTCTGTCTTTAGCGGTCAGCGATGTGTTTATAAAGGACTATCCGATGCCAAAATGTATAAAGTAAAAGGGGTGGGAGCGTTACTATATATGTGTTATGTAAAATGCGAAGAAGGAAGTCAATGTACGTTTATGTTACGTATATGGGTTACAAACTCCACGTGGTTTCAACTTGAGAACCAGTCGCATTTCACGTATTATAAGAGAAATATACATAGAAGATAGCATTGTTATTTTTTTTGATTTTCAATTTTCAAAAAAAAAAAAAAAATTTATTTCTTTATTAGTTTGCAAATAATCGATTTTATGTGCGTGTCGTGTAGATTTAGGGGTTTTTTTTCATTTTTTTTTTTTTTTTTTTTTTTTTTTTGGTGACCCGTGTGTGATCTAGTTAACAATTTCAAAACTAATGGGTGTGTGCTTTACATTTCTATTTATAGATGACACAATAAAGTGAAATTAAATTTGCAATTTAGGAAACGAAAATTTAAATTTATTCTAAATAATACATTAGAAATTGTCGAGAGTGAGATTTTTGAATTTAAGTTTTTTGAATGCTTCGAACTTTTGGAAGGAATTTTTTTTGATTAAAAAAAGAAAAATTTTCTGTTACGAATTTTAAAATTGAATTTTGGAATTATTATTTTATTATTTATTTATTTAATTTTTGTTAATTTTAGTTATTTTTTATTATTTATTTATTTTTTATTTTAGTTATTTTGTTTATTTTATTTTATTTTTTATCCTCAATTAGTATCGATTTTTGTCTTTATCGTCGTCCTTTAAAAATTGTTTGATGATATCCTTGCAAAATTTTGAGGAAGATTCTATAAATAAAAAAATAAAAATTAATTTTTCTAAAATATATTTGAAATGGTCGAAAATAAAATTTTTTAATTATACAGATAATCAATTAAATTATTTTCAATTATAATTTTTTCGTTCATTTAATATTGAAGAAAATTTGAAAATATAAAGCTTTCTCCAAATTTCAGAAAAAAGAAATTTTTTTCCTTCTAATTTGACATAAAATTGTAATGAAAAATTAAATTTCTATTTTAATAAAAAAAAAAAGAAAAATTGATTTAAAAAAATTTTGTTGTAATAAGTATATAAAAAAAAATAAACAAGTTAATTAAAAAGTTAATAATGACAGATAAATTGAATTCTAAAAATATTGCGTAGCTTCTCATATAAAAATCACGTAATCGCTCATTGAGGGAATCCCAGAGTTTTATGGTTCAAAACTTACGAACATATTATAAAAATATAGAGCGTAAAATATATAGGAGAAATTTCGTTTTTATAATCCAGATTATAAGCATAATCAACGTATAGGTGCACATAAATAAATGTATCGAAGCAAAAAAAAAACGTTTTTTTTTTGCTATTTTTTTTCCTTTTGCATTTTTCTACTTTTACAAATTTTTCACAGTTTTTATTACTATTTTTTTTTTCAAAAAAAAAATAACAGAATTTAAAAAACAAAAAAAAAATTAAAAAATTTCTTTTTTAAATTTACAAAAATTTAATTTTAAAACGTTCTGAAAAATAATTTAATTTTAAAACATAATTTAGTTTTGAAAAATAATTTAATTTTAAAAAATAATTTTTTTTTTTCAACAAATAATAGCTTCCTTGACAACATAATTTTTGCTCGATTTAGAGAAATCGTTCGTGGAATGTAAAAACAAAAAAAAAAAAAAAAGAAAATAGAGACATAATAATAATTGAAGTATAAAGGGATAAACTTCCGAAAACCCCCCCCTTCAGATTTTAATGAAACTTGGTATACTTACGTAATTTCATGCGCTGATCACGAAAATGATAGTGAAAATTACCGCAAATTTCATTTTTATGGTGAAAACCATAAAAAACACCATAAAATTATGGTTTTTTGCGTTTAACTCGTAAAAAACGCAAAATTAAAAAAAATCGTTCTTACAAAAGTTGTAGAGCTTCTAAAAATGAACATTTTATGTCCTATACATTTTTTACCAAAAGTCATTAGTTTTCGAGAAAAATGCAAAATATTTAAAAACGGTGAAAATTACCAACTTCTAGCTATTATCCACAAGAGGCAGATGTCTTATGTGACGGACAATATCTTTTAATAAAAAACCTTCTACTCTTTGCTGTGCAGGGCTATTTCCAAAAGAACTTTTAGGGGAAGACATCTTGGAGGAGGGGGGTCGGGGTAGGTTTCGTACCTTCCAGTACCATTAAGAATGTGAATTTGACTGTCTGTTTTGAAAGAGAGCAACGATACTAGGGAAGGCGGGCTTCGCCCGCCTCTGCATTCTTTGCTGTGCAGGGCTACTTCCAGGGGGGGAGGGGGGAAGACATCTTGGAGGAGGGGGGTCGGGGTGGGTTCCGTACCTTTCAGTACCATTAAGAATGTGAATTTGACTGTCTGTTTTGAAAGAGAGCAACGATACTAGGGAAGGCGGGCTTCGCCCGCCTCTGCATTCTTTGCTGTGCAGGGCTACTTCCAGGGGGGGAGGGGGGGAAGACATCTTGGAGGAGGGGGGTCGGGGTGGGTTCCGTACCTTTCAGTACCATTAAGAATGTGATATATATATATATATACATAATATATGTATAATATAATATAATATCATAATAATATAATATTCAAACGAATCAAATTTAATGTGCGATCTCTCAAAACTATCTTTATAGGAATTCCAGTTTCGTGGTATTAGTAATTTTTGTAGTGTGCTTTTCATGTTTCTGCATTTTTCTCGAAAACTAATGACTTTTGGTAAAAAATGTATAGGACATAAAATTTTCATTTTTAGAAGCTCTACAACTTTTGTAAGAACGATTTTTTTTAATTTTGCGTTTTTTACGAGTTAAACGCAAAAAACCATAATTTTATGGTGTTTTTTATGGTTTTCACCATAAAAATGAAATTTGCGGTAATTTTCACTATCATTTTCGTGATCAGCGCATGAAATTACGTAAGTATACCAAGTTTCATTAAAATCGGAAGGGGGGGGTTTTCGGAAGTGCACCCGTATAAAGAATTGCAGAATTATTTATAATTATTTTTTTCCTACGCGAATAAAAATGATGAAAAAAAAAAATAATTCGTCAACTGTTGCATAATTATACGACCATGGACTTGTACATTGGGGCGTCGTTTATGTTGACCCCCATAATAGTAAAGTCGACATCTTTAATATGTTTAAAAGTGGTGCAACAGGAAGTATTACATTTTTACATGCGTCCCAAGGTATCAGTTATAAAGGGAGAAAGTGTTTCGTAATCATAATAACTTTAATAGTGTACCAGAAATGCGCTCACATTACCCATATAGGTGGGCCAATGACTTCTATTACATATATTATTTTGTGCCCTCTTCAAAAATTCAGATATTTTCTTTCATATATATTGAATTTGTGCCCCAATGGGTGAAAGTATTGAAATAGTATATATTTTATTTATTTTTTCTTTTTTTTAAATAGAGGAATGCGCATTCAACCGAGTGCTCTGCTGAAAAAAATATAAAGAAATCAGTCAAAGAAAGTCACGCACGTATTGGATTCAATCCAAGAAGAGGTGTGAGTCTTTTTTTTATAACTAATTGTTGCAACGATCATCTTTTTTTTAATAGCTTTGCGAATTTTTAATTTTCAATATTATATCAAGTTACATAAAAAGATTTTTATCTAAAATTTAATTTTTCCTACGAATCTTTTTTTATAATTCAGAAATTTCATTCACTTTCTACTCTAAAAAACAAATTAAATTAACAACAAATTTGATATTTAATATTTATTTTCACATCTTTATGAAAAAAAGGATATATATATATATTATGTTGTATAAAATCTTCTTTTTTTTTGTCAAAAACTTTACAAATTGGAATGATTTTGATACGAGCAAAATTAAATGCTCTCGATTTATAAATCCAATTATCATTCAGTCATTGAATTGAATTCCATTTTGCAATTATCGTTGATTCCAATCGTGAATTCTTTGCTGGAATGTTAATTGTGCTGTCTCGTTGAATGTTAAAAACAAAAAGTTGAAAGAAATCGAAAACTTTTCCTTTTTTTTTTGCAAAAACAATTATTAAAAAGATAATTTTAATAATTATTAATTTATTAATTATTAACGTCACCTGCAAAATGGTACGTTGAAAATTATTTCAAAAAAAAAAAGTTTCATCACAGATAAAAACACAAATTTCATTGAATGTAAAAAAAACACATTTGTGGAACATTAAACAATTTCACTGAAAATTAAACACAAAAAAAAAATTGTCAATGAAATCAATGTTTTAGAATAGAAGATATGATAGAAAAAAATGTTTCGAGAACAATTAAAATTGCATTAGACTTTTTTTTTGCATATATTCCTCAGATTGAAATTATTTCTTCTTCTTAACTTTGGTCGATGTTTCGCTTTGTGGTTTTTGCCAATCCAATGGTTTTCTTCTGTACATGGGCCACGGTGGAATTGTAATAATTGCCGCCAATAGAAAACCAGCACCGAGTATGTAAATTGTTTGTGAATATTGTTGAACAACGAATCCCCAAACAAATCCAATCATCTGATTAAAAAAAAAAAAAGAAAAGTTTATTATTTTTATTTATTATTTTTTTAAATAATTATTTTATTATTTAAAAAAGAAGTATACGTTATGTATTATTTTTCAAAGTAAAAAAATCTCGATTAAAATTTTTTACACTACTTAATTATATGTTTTATTACATAAAAGTGTGAATCAAAGATTTGATCATTTATTGTATAATCAGTTTTAATTGAATAGGATTCAATATTTTATTATATAAAAATTTTTATTAAACAGTTAATGTTTATATAAATTTTTTTTATAATAATTATTAACTGTATAATATAATAAAAATAATAATAATTGTACTAATTATAATTATTATTATAATTAAATTTTATATTTACCCCAAAAAGTGTGATGATAATCCTAAAGTATTTTTCGGCCCTCGCTTGACCTTCATAATCCTGTGAAAATAATTATCGAATAAATTTAACAAAAGAAATAAAACAATAAAATGTAACTACAATTTTTTTTATATTTCACAAAACTAAAATTGAATCGTTTAATAGCCCTTTTAAAACATAAAAAGTAATTTTAAAACTAAACAAAATAGACGAATTTAAATTTGAAACAATCAATAAAATACAAAAGAGAGTAAAAAAAAATATTAAAAAACAGTAAAACAACATAAAAAACTATTATTCCATTTCAAGATTGCTCCGAAAAAAATCTAACACGTTTACTACTGTAATTTTCATTATTGTTCATAAAAAATGTAATAAACAAAAATGAAAAAAAATGAATTAATATAATTAATTAGGTACGAAATTGTTAAAAATAGATAAAAAGATACAAAAATAGTTCTATTTTCAATTAATAATAGAATAAAAAATCGAGACATACGGTGAAAACTAACCTATAAAAACAAAATGACAGTTGTCATTGAAAAATGAAAAATACAATTATTTCACTGGAGAATAGTAAATAAACTTACCATATGGGTAGGAATATTTTTAAAATATTCAATCCAGTCCTTCATTTTTGCCAAATAACTGATGATCCTTTATAAAAAATGAATATGTCAATTTAATGTAAACAGTTTGACGCGACGTGGACAACTCACGTGCGCAAGGTCAAAGTAAAACCACAACGCAGTGTTGCCACGTTGACAAATGAAAAGGCGGTAATATTTTTAAATTTAAATTTTAAAACGTACGTTTGAATTTCAAAATTTCAAAATTCTTATAAACTACTAAAAATTAATCAAGATTCTTTTAGAAGAAAGGAATCAAGATCAATTTTAATGAAATTTAAATAATAGAAATACTTTTTGAATGATTTCAAAATTGTTTCTTGCATTAATTTATTTTAATAATTCTAATGACATCTTTATTGATAAAATTGTTTTTTTTTTATTTCATGACAAAAAAAATGACATTTTGTAATAATACAAAAAGAAATTTGTCATTTCTATTTTTAGTGTATTAAATTTTTTTTTAATGTGATTTATATAAACTTTATTTTTGTTTCTTTTTTTGTAATTCGAAACATAATGGGCAACTATTGTTGTATAATAATAAAAAAAAAAAATTATGGAAATTATTATATAATAATTCTGACCTCTTTTCTGAGAACTGAAACTTTCGTTGTTATATTATATTTCGAAATTATAAAAGGATAATGGGTTCAAAACCACACTTTCTTGTCCTTTTTTTATATTACATTTATTATTTTTAATTTTTTCTTTCATTTCTCTTTTTTGAATCACCAAATAGTGTATGTAAATTAACATTTTTTAAATGTCAACTTTTTAAATATGAAATATAAAATTTTGCAAAATTACATTTAAAAAATGATAAAATATTCAAAAAGGCAAAGTTAAGTATAGCCATCTGTTGTAGATAAAGTAGGGCTTGCATTATATCGGTAATATGTCAAATTTAATTTCCCAACACATTGGAATTTTTATAAAATATGTTTTTCTTGTTATTAAACACTAATTTTGTTTAGTAAATTAATAAATTAGCAAATGAAATATTTAATTAGAAATATATGTTATCAGTTTTCACTATTTCCAGTGTAACAACTATTTAAAATATAATGAAACATCACACACTATATTAAACTGACAGGTAAGCACTTTTTTTTTTTATTAAATTTGTTTAAATAATTGCATTAGATAATTTATATTTAATCATTAAAAGAATATTCCTAAGTAGGTTTCTTTTTCCGTTAATAAATAATTAACTGACAAGCATTTCAAAGGCTTCATAATGACATTGACATTTTGAGGTTAGGTTAAATTTATAATAAAAATAATATTTTGACATTCTAACAATAATAAATAGTTTGTTATGTAATTGTTTATAGTTACTTAAGTTAAAAATAGTCAAAATTAGGGTAAGTTTAAGTCATGACATTTTGTACAATTGAATAAATTGTTCAATAATTATAATTTTAAATTCATATATTTACACTACTTTAAATATTTTGATGGATTAATTAATAATAATTAATAATAAAAAACAATTTTTAATTTCTTTTATCTATTATTTTTAGGTAGTAAATTTACTTTTTTTAAAATGGAGATATCCCTACAAGTACTTTCAGACTTTATAAGTCTCTTTACAATAGGTATGTGTTTTATTCTCAAAGTTCCTCAAATTTTAAATCTCATGGCTTTAAAATCAGCTAAAGGAATGTCGATATTAGGCTTATGCCTAGAATTAACAAGGTTCGTGAAAAAAATTAATTTTTAATATTAATTTATTTTATAATATATATGTAAAATAAAACGCTAAATATTTTCAATTTTAACAAACTTTGGTAGTTTATTTTTTCTAAATTCTTTTGAACAAAAATATGAATTTTTCTATTTAATGTCGCAAAAATATTATCGCTATAAATTTTTATTAATTATACAATTTAAACTATACAGATTTGTATTTTTTTTTTGGTAAATTATAATGCGAATTTTCAGTTTTATAAAAATTGTTTATAAAGTAAGTTATTTATATCAAATTACTTTTTACATTGATTCTTTTATTATTTTAAAAATAATAAAAGACAATTTCAAGAATTAATTCTTGAATTTTTTTTTTTTTTTTTTTTTTTGAATGTCTTATTAAAAAATAATAATAATATTCTAATTACAGTTATACAGTGATGACAAGTTATAATATTACAAATGGCTATTCTTTACTCACGTATTTAGACTATCCAATAATTTTGGTGCAACAATATATACTCATATTCTTAGTTTTAAAATATATGAATAAAATTAATTCCATGACGATATTAATAGTCGCTCTCTATATTATTATTTTTATTTCATTTGTACTTCAAATATTGCCAAAGTCTTTCTTAACTTTATTTGTGGTGAGATATTCTCAATTAAAAATTAGAATAAATTAGCTGAATTAGTTTGTTTTTTTTTATATATATAAAAATGAAATAATTAATTTCAGCCTATGTGTACTCCAATTACTGCGTCTAGCAAAATAGTTCAATTATTATCAATTCTTCGAGCTAAAAACGCAGAATCAATTTCCGTTTCCACGTGGTTTATTTCAGCTCTAACAAATTTTAGTAAGTTTATAAAAAATTTTTTTAAAAAATTTAATTTTCTATTGTGATAAACGGAATGTATTTTTTTTTCTATTTTCAGCAAGAGTTTTTACAATATGGATAGATTCTGCAGATGTTTTACTTTTGGGAAATCTTATTATTTCCGGTTCTCTTAGTTCTTCTATTATGTTCACTGTGATTTATTACAAATGGCATCCAAAATCTGATTAAATTCTCCATTCTTCTGTACAATTTACAATTATTATCATTGTAAATGATATTCATCGGAGAGTTTAAATAAATTTATTTCTTTAAACATACTTTTTTTTTTAATTAATAAAACTTACTTTAAAATTTATTTTAATTGAATACTATAAAATTTAAAGAAAAATATGTATTCACAGGAATTATCTTAGGTTTCTTTTTCATTTTTTTTTTTTTTTTAAATAGTTGGACAAACATTTGTCGTAACTTTACCACTTGTACGACTAGGATCAAATTTAATTGGATTATTATCAATCATTATATTATTCATACAACCAACATATTGTGCTTGTGCAGTACTTCCTCTCAATGGTAATTGTAGTCTCACATGACCTCCAATAAATATTGGACTCTTAGTACTGACAACAGCTGAATTTTTAAGTCCAATTCCAGGCGATGCTGCTTTATGATCCACTGACAGTAGTAGAACATTCTTTTGTTTGATTGCTGAAAAAAAAAAATGAAAATTAAATAAAAAAAAAAAAATTAGAATAAAAATTAGAAAATGAAATAAAAAAGAAAATTTACCTCGAATATTGTGCCAATTTCCATCGCATAAAGAATTTGGATTTGGTGGTTTAAATGAAGTTTCAATTGTTGTTTGTCCTTTATTTGATTTTATCATAAATCTAATAGTACCGCTGACCATTTCCAATATTAAAAAGTCCTTTTTTCCATGAACTGATAATAAATGACCGCTTGACGATCGTGGTTTAATGTCCATTTGAATATCCATTGTTTTGCTCACAGAAAATGTTTCAACTATTTGAATAATGAGAGAAAAAAATAGAAGAAATAAATTAATAATATGAAACATAAAAAATATTTAAAAAAAAAAAATAAACTTCTTTGGAAAAAATAATTAATGTACTAACCAGGTTTGAAGAAATTGCTGCCATTATTAGATGGATAGAAGAATATTCCGGGTTCAATTTTCTTTGAACATGGAATTAGACCAATTTCTTCAGCAGGTGTACCGACAGGATTTCCATTAATCATGAAATTATTCAAGCAGCCATCAAATGATTTATTCATTCCCTAAAAAGTGGCAAAAAAAAAAAGATTTTCATTATTATCTTAAAAATGACAATTTTTATTTAAATTATTCTATATTAAAAATATTTTAATTTAATATTATTAAATTTATTAATAATTTTTATTAATTATTAATAATTTTTATTAATTATTAATAATATTTATTAATTATTATTGATAATAATAATATTTATTAATAAATTAAATATTTATTAACTACTCACCAAAGTTTTAAAGATTCGCGAAGATTTCTCAGGAATTACGCCTCCTAAATAGAATGGAGGATTCACGTCAATTTCACCTTCTCCTCCAATAGCTGTACCTGTTGCTCGTGTATCTTCAACAATTAATTCACCATAATTTTGCTCTCGTTTAAATTGAACAGTGTGCCATTGATTATCATTAATTTTCACTGGATTTGTTATTAATGCTGGTCCACTTCCGCAGTCGAATTTAAAGTTCACCTTTTCAAAGAAAGCAGTAATTTATTAATTTTCAAAAAAAAAAAAAAAAAATGAATTCGAAAAATTAATATTCAATAAATAAACATTCAATAAAATAATGTAAATTAAAATTAAACCAATCAATTGAAATTAAATTAGAAAATTGAAAAAAAAAAATTAAATTAATAAAATTACAGAGTTGCCACGGGTCAGGGAAAATTGAGGGAAATTTAAATTTATCAGGAAAATCAGGGAATTTTATAAAAAGTACTGGAAAAATATCAAATTTCTAAAAATGCTGCTAAAAATTATAATTTTTGAAATTTTCAATTCAAAATTTTTCTTCTAAAAATTGTCTTCATTTTTTAGAATTGGAAGACCTCTTGAAATATTTTTATTAGTGTCCGGGAAAAAATTTAAATTCTAACTGGAAAAGTCAGGGACAAACAAAATAAAATTTTTGCGTCAACTCTGAATAAAATTAATTAAATAAAATTAATAAAATAGAATTAATTAAATAAAATTATATTAATTAAATAAAACTAATTAAATTAATAAAATAAAATTAATTAAATTAAATTAATTAAATTAAATTAATCATAAACTTACCCTTCCATGTTGAATGAAAAGAGCAATCAAATCGTCATTATTCTGACCGGATGCATAAAATATTAATCCCTCATCTTCAATTGTTTTAATATTTATTTGGAAATCAAAATCATATTTATATCGACCATTGATGGAACTGTATTCTCTTCTACTGTCTTTTTGAGTTCCTGTAATTAAAAATTGATTAATTAAAAATTGACTTAAATTTTATTTTTAGGAAAATATTGATAAAAAATTTACCAAATCTCCATCCCATTGCGCCATCAGGATCAACAGCCGGTTCAAATGGTAATCGACATTCGTCCACATATACCGGAACAAAAGGTGTTGTACTCTTAGTGGTAGTAGAAGGTGTAGTTATCTCTTCTTCAGATTCTTTTCCATCAACATTATTAAATTTCTCATTGTGTCGACCTTCTATTGGTTTTGCAGTTATTGGCTCTGGTTCAACATTTTCTGGATTTATGTCAACGATACCTAGGGAAAAAAATTAAAATAAAAACAAGGTAAAATTAAATTAATTATCAAATAAAAAATTGAAAAACTAACTATTTTCCGTTATGTCTGTATAATTTTCATTGTCTATTGGCAACGGTGGCAAAGGCCAAGAATCTTCAGGAACCTTTGGTAGTCCAGCTGAAAAAACGATCAATTAAAAATTAAATTAAATTATTAATTAAATTGAAAAATGTTTTTTTTTGGAAAATTAACTTACATGGTTCGCCTCCTCGGCATTTTCCAAGAATAGTATTTGGTCTATCGGTAGTGTTGGCAAAATTAATGATAACACCATTGACAGTGACATCACCAATGCAACCAGCAAATGGTTCGTGATGTGATTCAAATGGCAAATTACTTGGAGTACCTCCAAGATAAATGAAAGCTGATTTAATATCAAGTGGCGCACCTTTAGAATTATAATTATCCGTATCGTATGTATCAATTCTTTCAATATCAAGATTAATTGCTTTTTCATCAATCGTTGCCGTGACAACGTGCCATTCATTATCATCAAATTTCGTACCAACTGGACTTGTAGTCACAATATTATTTCCACTTTCAAAAACTAAAATACCATCAACAAGTGATAAATGACTGTGAATGATATTTTCATTTTCATTTTTACCCACAATTGCAAAAATCAGAGCATTACTTGTCACTGTTTTAAATTTCAATGTAATTTGAAGATTGTCTGTCACTGTCATATTTGGTAATTTAACATAACCGGGTTTACCATGTTCCAGAGAAATTAAACTGGCAAACTGAAATAATATAAATAAAAATTTTTAAAAAATAATAATTTAATTATATTTTTATTTAATTAAAGTATTTCTAATTTTATGAACCTTAACGGGACATCCAGGAACAACTCCAAAGGCCTGAAGATTTCTGACAAGATCAACGGAAGTCTCATGAATAATCACGTAATCGATACAGCCTTCAAAACCCTTTTGAGTCACTGTTGGATAGGGATGAGTCAAATTTGGTGGATAACCACCGAAGAATAATTGATCATTTGACATTAACGATTTAAATTCATCGGATCCATCATGTTTTGCAACGACTTTACCATCAATTTTCAAATTTCCTTTTTGATGTTGACGTATCGCTTCCAATGTATGCCATTCGCCATCGTTATACATTTCAGTTGAACGAATTTGTACTTTATCACCGCCAAGATAATATTGATATAGTACTTGTCCATTTCTCATTTCAATTGACAAATAATGACCATTCTTTCCCATTAGATACATAAGTCCATTCTTTTCTAAACTCTTGAAATTCATTCTTATGATAAATTCCGAATTTTTCACACGTAATTGTGACATTTTTTTACTTATTATCGCATAACCATTGCCATCAAAACGATAGCCAGTACTTGATTCAAGATTAATTAATTTATCACGTTCAATTGCTTGTCGGAAATTATTTTCAGCGTCGACAAAATTCCAAAATGATACTGGAACATCGCCAATAACAAGCTCTTCCATTTCGCCTTCAAAATAATTTACTGTCACGTCATCTTGAATTTGGAACGACGGTGGATAACCACCGACAAAGAGTTTTGATTTTTTTAAATCTAAATTAAAAACTGTATTCGATCCAGGTAGTGATTGTTCCTTTACGTAGAGTTTTTCTTTGCCCTCGCCGACATCCTCGCGAAGTATCAATTTCACATTTCTTCCGGTTCTGCCAAAAAAAGAAAGGAAAATAAATTACAAATTTTAATCAAAAATATTTTGAAATTAAATTAAAATAGAGTTATGAAAATTCAGTTTCCACGTAAAGTTTTCTTTATAAAATTCGAATAAATTGAATTTATATTATTCCAAAATCGACGTTGTGAAAAATTTTAAATTCTTACCTTTCAACAATTAATTGACGCCAAACATTGTCGGATACTGTTTTATTATTATTAACAATTTTCGTTGTTCCTGATCCAAGATCCATTAATAAAACCGGATATCCATTTTCAATGGTGAGTGCCATGTAATCATGCTGAAAAAAAAATTAATCAATTAAAAACAATAAATTTCTTTTTTTTTCACATTTTCTATTTATTCTCACCGTTTCAGTGCGTGGAATTTTCGATTTTCCTTCATTGCCAAGATACATTAGAAAACCATTAGAAATATTAGTTCTAAAATAAACTGAAACTTGTGTCGATGTTGCCAATAATGGAAGACTCTCGGGATTTTTTAATTCCAATGTTGTATTCTTAAAGAATGTTAATCCAACTTTAAATCTATCGGCTAATTCTCTTGCATTTGCAATTTTTCTCTTTAATCTTTCAATTTTATCATACAAATCATTGCCAGTTGAATTAATTGAATTTTGCCGTTGATTTAATTCATCAAGAAGACTATTCATATTTGGAATAACTTTATCAACTGAATTTAAATGGAAATTTGCTTGTGTTATTTCATGTATTGAATCAGAAATATCTTTTGATAATTGTTTTGTTGTTTTTAAATCCATTGGCAATGTATTAACAGTATGATTCATATTATTTAAAGCTTGTTGAATTGTATATTCAACTTTATCGGCATTATTCAAAGCTGTTTGAATCACCAAAAGAGGACCTTGTGATGTTATTTTTTCCAACGATCTGAAATTATTCGTTTTTTTGAATATAGAGAACAAATATTAAAATTATTTTTATTTATTTGATACATACCTATCAATATCATCTAATGAATCTTTGTTGTAAATATTTTCTCCCTCGATATCGCTGACGTATTTTTCAGCTTCGTCTAAATCGAGATTTAATTGTCCTTCGGTTCTATTAACTGATTCTGTGGCTGCTGTCAATAATTTTTTACTACGTTCGAAGGAATTTTTTGCATTTTCATCGATACCGCTGGACTGGAAAAGAAAATTTTGTAATTTATTTATTAATTTTTAATTTACTATGAAAGAAAAATACCTGACTGAGAGCTTGATCGGCTGCTTCGATAGCTTCCGCCGCTGCGGCTTCAGCATCAGAGATATCATTTTGAATATTTTGATAAACACTGACAGCCTTTACAGCGTCGGTATTTCTCGTGTCTGATAAAACATCATCCAATGCCAAAGAATCTAAATCAAGTTGATCTGCGTGTTTCTTTGCTCTTCCTATTAAATCCAAAATCATTGGCATTTCTTTCTCATTTTCCTGATACGTCTCCCTTAATTGATTTATCGTATTTCCTATTTTTTCCGATTCATTCGCTGAAAGTTGAATTTTAATTATATTTAATTAATTTATTTTAAAAATTATTTAAATTATAATTAAAATTATAAAATAAATATTTATTATTCAAATCCTACCTAATTCTTTCATTATTGGTCGAGCTTCATCAAGTGCATCGTTAGCTTTTTTATTTAAATCACGTCCTGATAAAATATCATCATTCGTTTCGTCAGCAAATTTCTTGACATTATCAATATTTCCCGTTTCAGCGGCTCTTTTATTTTCTTCATTTAATTTCGCTGCCGTTCTTATTAAATCCTCAGCCTTCACAGCCAAATTATGCAAATCATCAATTTTAATACTCAATGTTTTCATTGCACCATTTAAATTTTGTATTTCTGAACTGAAATTTTTCACTGGCGATGTATAATCCATCATTTCAGAAATGAGAATTGTCGCTGCAATTTGTTGATCATTTGCCTTATCACGAAATTCATGGAATGAGACAGATTTTATTTTTTGTATTATACTCTCCGCCACTTGTAATGCATATTCAACTTTAGCACCAGCTCCAATTTGAATATTTGATGCCAATGATTGTATTTCAGCGACAATATCATTGACAAGTTCAATTTCTTGTGCAACATCTTTTTCCAATTCATTCATTCCATTTAATGTATTTTCCGCACCTTCTTTCCATTGATTGGCAGCGTCCGATATATATTCGACTTTTCGCTTTTGTGCCTTTACTTCCTCATCTAATCGCACGATATCTTGTTTTAATGGGACAAAATTAATTTTACTTGGATCCAATAATTGTACCTCTGGATATAATTCATTAACCGAGTCATTGAAAAATCTTAGTCGTTGATTTGTAAAGTAGCTCTCTGCGACGGTCTGAAAAAAAGGAATTTTTTTTTTTTAATAAGTAAATTGAAATTTGTACTAAAGATGAAAAAAATTAATTACGCTAAAATTGTTGAAAACTGGATTGAGAGTCTCGGAGAGAAGATCAGTGACGTCGAGAAGATCATCAGTACAAGAATCGCATTGATAGCAACCGTCATTTTCGATCAGGACAAATCGATATGGACAGTGGTCACATTTTTCTCCAATCACACCAGGTAAACAGGTACATTGTCCTGTGGATGTGTTACAGGAAACTCCAACCGAATATCCAGTGTTACAACCACAAGCTAAAAAAATCGAAAATTAAAAAAGAAATTCAAAAAAGAAAATCAAAAAAGGAATTAAAAATGACTTACAGATGCAGCCTTCGGGTCCATAATTCCAATATCCATTAATACATTTATCACATTTACGTCCAGTGACGCCGGGTTTGCAACGACATTGTCCAGTTTGCATATCACATTGAGAACTTTCCGAAGCAGCTCCACAATCGCAAGCCTTACAACCATCGCAAGAATCAAAACCATAATGATTAATCTCGCAACGATCGCATTTATCGCCAATAACATTTTGTTTACATTCACAACGACCATTATAATTATTACATTGATCCATTCCACAACTATCGCAAAGACAACTTTGACAATCTTTTCTATCGACAGCGTCGCCAAAAAATCCTGGAGCACAAATATTACACGCCTGACCATAAGTGTTATTTAAACAATTGCGACATTCACCAGTTATTGAATCACACGATCCAATGTCATTTGTATCGATATTTCCTGAACAATTGCAAGGTTTACAAAAATCATTATAAACATCTGGTTGCCCATAATAACCAGCGGAACATGCTTCACAACGTGCTCCATAGTAACCTGGTAGACAATCGCAACTTATTTTATTTCCATCCTCATTAACTTGACAACCAGTTGCAAAATTATTACTGGGAACTGGAAGTGGACAGGCGCAAATTAAACAATCGGAAGGTGTTCCAATTGTTGCGTTTCCATAATAGCCTTGCTCACAATATTCACAATGATCGCCGGTTGTTCCATTTTTACAGTCCTGAAAATTTTTTCAATTTCAATTCAAAAGTTTTTTTTTAATTTTTGAGAAATTTATTACCGGTATTTTAAACTATTTTTTAATTAAAAATTTTATAAAATTCAATAATTGTTAAAAATTTAATAAAAAAAAAATCAGCAAATAAAATTACCAAAATTTTCAATTCAAAATCACTAAAATTTTCAAAAATTTTAATTTAAAATCTTCTAAATTTGTATTATTTCAAAAATTTTCTGAAATTTAATAATTTCAACTATAACTCTTCCAAAATTCATATTATTTCTCAAAATTTTGACTGTATCTCTTTCAAAATTCAATTTATTTCAAATTTAATATTTTCAAAAAATTTCAATTTAAAACCTTCTACAATTTTATTAATTTTAAAATTTTCCATTACAAATTTTCTAAAATTTAATAATTTTAACTATAACTCTTCCGAAATTCAATTATTTTTATAATATTCTTCAAAAATTCAATTATCTGAAAGTATTTTTCAATTAAAAACTTTTTAAAGTTCACTTTTGTCTGTAAATTCAATTAATTTTTCAGCAACATAAATTACTTAAAATTTTCAATCAAAAATCACTTGAATTTTAATTATTTTCAAAAATCTTAATTGTAAATCTTCGAAAATTCAATTTATTTCAAATTTCATATTTTCAAAAAATTTCAATTTAAAACCTTCTACAATTTTATTAATTCTAAAATTTTCCATTAAAAATTTTCTAAAATTTAATAATTTTAACTATAACTCTTCCAAAATTCAATTATTTTTAATTATTTTTATAATATTCTTCAAAAATTCAATTATCTGAAAGTATTTTTCAATTAAAAACTTTTTAAAGTTCACTTTTGTCTGTAAATTCAATTAATTTTTCAGCAACAGAAATTACTTAAAATTTTCAATCAAAAATCACTTGAATTTTAATTATTTTCAAAAATCTTAATTATAAATCTTCGAAAATTCAATTATTCAAAAAAAGTTTCAAATAGAAACACTGAAATTTAATTGTTGTCAGAAATTAAAAAAAAAAAAACCACAGCAGTTTAAATTGGCAGAAAATTTATTTCAAATTTTAAACCTTCTGCAATTCAATTATTAAAAAAAAATTAATTTATTAATCTGTAAATCTTAATTTTTGGTCGAAAATTTATTGACGATTAAAAGTAAAAAATAAATAAATTTTCTTAATAATATTCTTATAGAATTATTCTTATTAAGAAATTAATTAAATTAATTTACTTAATATCTAAAAAACATTAATTATTTAAATAAAAATATTAATACCTAAATAATTAAATTTAGTTAAAATAAAAAATCGACTTTTCCGACGTTTTTTTAAAAAGTCGATTTTTTTAAAGTCGATCCGAGGCCTTGAATTTAAAAATTTCTAATTCAAAAATAATTCTTACGTGACAAACTCCAGTGTTAACATCACAAGAATCAGAGTGTCCATGACATTGACAGCGAACACAATATCCACCATAAGGTCCTGATGAGACACGATAATAACCTGGAGCACATTCTTCACAAGAAAGTCCCTGATAATTTGGAGGACATTGACATTGTTCAACGCCACTCGCTAAAATACTATTATGCGAATATGACGTAGTTGTTGTGTCTAAAGTCACATAAGACAATCTAAAAAGAAAAAACAAATTTAAATAAAATCTTAAATTAAAAATAATTAAAATTATAATTAATAGAAAAAATATGAAACTAACACAGCAGTAAGACTCTGATCCCAATAAGTTGCTCTTATATAAATTCCCTCAAGATTTTCTAAAACCACCAAAAATTGTTCCCTCGTAACTTTCAATTTATTCAAAGCCAAAAAATTCTTCTCAACCAATTCCAATGACGCTCTATAATTTGTAAACTGATATGGTTGTTCGTCAGCATGATAAAAAAGAAGCATATCACCACTTCGTAAAATTACATCAGGTCCATCGACAGCATTTCCAAATGGTCCAGTCGAATACATAATCGTATAATTTAACCAGCCTCCATAGGACGTGAGTTTTTTTCCCAAATAATTATCAGGAGCTGTGAAAAATACAATTTTCTCCATTGTTTCACTTTGAGCAAAATCAAGTACCGTTGATGTTTCATTGACATTTTTCACCAACGATTCCAAATTTGTCACATTTCCATGTTTTTCAATAACAGCCACCGATTCCCAATTCTCCATATTCATAATAAATGTCCTATACAAATTTGATGAGACACATCTATTTGTCTTGCCAAAACAGAAACATTTACTGCAACCTTCTTCATTGCCAATTTGAAGATCAAACGTCCCTTCTTTACAGACATCGCAAGCCAATCCTTGAACATTTGTTTTACAATAACATTCAGCAGTAAATTGATCACAAATATCATCAGTTGTTCCACGATTATCACAATCACATTTTTCACAATGTGGAAATTGTGAATAACCCGGTAAACATTTATCACAACGTCTACCAACGACATTTTCCTTACAACTACAACTTCCATTGAGAAGATCACATTGTAAATTACCATTCAATACACCTTGATGTGCACAATTACAATCCTCACAACCAATAATTGGATGATAGCCATAAGTACCAATTTCACATTGATCACATTTCTCCCCCGTGACTTTTGATGGACAAATACATTCACCTCTCTCGGGTTCACAAATTGCTGTACTTGGACAATTACATGGTTTACAATCCGGAAAACCATAGAAACCAGTTTTACAAGTCTCACAACGTCTTCCAATAATATTCGGCTTACATGGACATTGTCCACCAAATTTTTCACATTCAAAACTCATTGTACCTTCAATATCACAATTACATGGTAATGCACGATTATTATAATGTGTTGTCAATGAAAATGTTGCATCACGACATAATCCCTCATCAGTGACATTAACATAAAAATGATTACTACCACATTTCTTAATAAACTCCTCAGTTTGATCGAATTGCAATTTACGTAAAATATTATCATTATACTGATCGGCTGGCACAACAAGAACATAATCAATCCAAATACCTTTACCCGTTGCCTCATTAAAATTCATTGAAACATTTTCCTCGAGAACAAATCTTGTTTCACCATCAATTTGTCGTATTAAACTACGACAACCACTACTACTTGGACAATGTGGAACTGGTACTTTTGCTTCATAATATTTTCCATTTTGTATCAATACCTCGAGATCAAATTCCGGATAATCTGGCTGATAATATTGTACAACAAAAATATAAGCACCTGGATAAGGAACTTTTGCATGAATATCTGCATTTTCATTATAAAGATAAATGAATTTTGAATTTTTATTCGTTATCCATTCGGGTGTTGATCCAAGATTTAAATCAGATTCGAATTCAATTTTTTTAGCATCTGCTGCACCGGGAAAACTACCTTGAACACATTTTTTATTCTTTCTCACGCAAGCCGATTTTGGTTTAATATAATCCAAGGACCATTCTTGTTGTGGAATGGCAATTATTGAATCAATTGCAATTGTTTTATTTACCTCGCCTATAATTTTAAGACCAATGTAATTTGTCGGAAAATTCATAATCGCTACCCTTCCTGCCGAATCAATGACAACTTGTCTACAAATACTGGTATATTTACAAGGATTTAAATTTGCTTTTCCTCTCCAATCTCCTGCCTCAATTGTAACACTCGATGTTGAATTCTCCTCCTTTGGAGTAATATACGTAACAACAAGAACATGTGCTCCTGGTTTTGTAATTCTCATTTCAAAATTAACTTCATTTTGCTCATTACTAATCAATGGCAATCGTTCCTCTTCAATTTCATCCAATGTTTCTCTATCCGTCAAATATTGTTCCACCGATTCACGAACACCATTTTTACTCAAAAAACCCCCAGCACCGTGAACAGAATTAAATAACGTTAAATTTGGATAACCATAATGTCGACAAAGACCCAAGTAACCAATTTCACAGGGAATATTAACATCCTCCGTTAATATTGTCGCTTCATAATATTCAGCAGGCAATAAAACAAAATAATCCAAAAATAAACTTTTTTTTGTTGCAATTCTTATTGTCCAATGACCAGGATCCATTACCATTGACGATGGTATTATACCCTGTGCACCGGCAACAGTTACAAATGATGGATTTGTCGTTGGTTTTAAATGTACCATAAATTGTTGTTCAACTTCCGATGGATTGTCAGGTGTTATTGTTATTGTACCGAGAATTGCTTCATTATTTGGATTAATGTAACGCAATACCATTCGATATAGTGATGATTTGTGAACATTGATAAAATGAATAATTTCATCTTGAATTAAACCAAATACGGCGTAACCCTTCCAACTATAGCCGGGAAATACTTCATCGGAAAATCCATAACGAACGGGATTATTTGATGGTGTTATACCATCTTCGGCTTCATATTGAAATTGATGGAGTGTTGGAAAATAATGTGCTTTCAATGGTTCTTTGCATGTTTGACCAGTTACTCGTGCTTGACATGGACATTGACCGGTTATTTTGTCACAGAGACGACTAATTGATCCTCCCACATCGCAGGCACAATCTATTTTTTTTTGGGGAAAATAAATTAGAAATTAGAAATTAAAGCGATGAGAGAAATTCAAGAAGATAGCAAACCCGTCGTTTTTTCAAAAAAAAAAAAATTTGTGTGACAATTTGTGTTAGTTTTGTACTAATTTGTTTCAAAATTCAAATATGTTTTCGAAAAAACACTTGCAAACATTTTCCAAATTTTTATTAATAAATTATTCAAAATAATTGTAATTTAAATTCAAAAAATGATTTTTTAACTCAGAAATATTCAAAAATTATTATTTTTGAAAAATAAATTTTGTGCTCTATTGTGCTTGTCCAGTACAAAAAGAATGTAACTGTAATTTTAATTACTGTAATTTTAATATTTTTCAAATTAATTCAATTTTTAAATTCAAAATTTGGTTTTTATATCGAGAAATATTCAAAAATTATTATTTATCAGAAACAAATTTTCTACTGTATTGTGTTTGACCAGCAAAAAAAAAATTAATTGTAAAATTTTCAAATATTTTTCAAATTAATTCAATTTCAAAATTGAAAAAAAAATAGAATTTTGTACTTAGAAATATTCAAAAATTATCTTTTCAAGATTTTTAATAATAAACTATTAAAAATAATTCTAAATTTAAATATAAAATACGATTTTTTAAATCAAAAGTATTTAAAAATTATTATTTTCTAAAAACAAATTTAAAAAAAATTAACTGTAAGATTTTAAAAAACTTCAACAATTTAAAAATTAATTCAAATTTAATATAGGAAAATACGAAAAAATAAATAAATAAATAAAAAATAAATACGAAAAAGGTACAAAATTTGGGTTTTGTAAATAGAAATATTCAAAAATTATTTTTTAAAAAATTTGGTGTTTGTAAAATAATAATATGTGAATAAAAAAACTCTTAGAAGCAATTTTCCAGGTTTTTTAATAATAAATTATTGAAAATAATTCAAATTTAAATTGAAAAAAAGATTTTCTAATCCAGAAAAATTCGAAAAATTATTATTTTTTAAAAATAAAGTGCCGTATTGTGTTCGACCAGTACAAAAAGAATTAACTGTAACATTTTCAAAAACTTGAATATTTTTTAAATTAATTCAATTTCAAAATTGAAAAAAAATAGAATTTTGTACCTAGAAATATTCAAAAATTATCTTTTCAAGATTTTTAATAATAAACTATTAAAAATAATTCTAAATTTAAATATAAAATACGATTTTTTAAATCAAAAGTATTAAAAAATTATTATTTTCTAAAAACAAATTTAAAAAAAATTAACTTTAAGATTTTAAAAAACTTCAACAATTTTAAAATTAATTCAAATTTAATATTGGAAAAAATACGAAAAAAGTACAAAAATTGGGTTTGAAAGAATTCAAAAATTATTTTTTAAAAAATTTGGTGTTTGTAAAATAAAAATATTTGATTAAAAAAAACCCTTAGAAGCAATTTTCCAGATTTTTAATAATAAATTATTGAAAATAATTCAAATTTAAATTGAAAAAAAGATTTTCTAATCCAGAAAAATTCGAAAAATTATTATTTTTTAAAAATAAAGTGCTGTATTGTGCTCGACCAGTACAAAAAGAATTAACTGTAACATTTTCAAAAACTTCAATATTTTTTAAATTAATTCAACTTGAATATTCAAAAATTAGTATTAATAGCTAGAAATATTCAAAAATTATTTTTTAAAAACAAATATACTAAATTGTGCCAATCCAGCATAAAAAGAAACAATCACAACATTTACTAGCCCAAAAATTATATTTTTGAAAAAACAAAATTTTCCTAACTTTTTGGACGTAAATTTTTATTAAATAAAATAATAATTACCAGAACATCCAAAAACATTTTCCTCCTGTAAATTATACGATCCATCGACACATCGAGAGCAACTTCTCTCAGTGACTGAGGGTTTACAAATACATTGACCAGATTTAGAATCACATTCTCCAATGCTTCCAATAACACCGGGTATATTGCACTGACATTCTAAAAACAAAAAAAGAATAAATAGAAAAATAAATTAAATAATTGTATTTTCAATGGATAATTTTCAAATTAATTACCTTCACAGCCGTCGGGATTATTGGCTTGTAAATTCCAAAAGAGTGGTTTACATTGATTGCAAATTCTTCCCTCAACACGTTCCTTACATTTACAAAGTTCACCAACTGGCAACGATCCACAGCCCATGAATGTTTCAACAACACCAGCTGGATCACAATTACAACCTTCGCATCGTGGAAAATTGTAGAATCCCTCCTTGCATTGATTACATTGAGGACCATCGAAATTTTCTTTACATTGACATTTTCCTTCTAAATCGCAAGAGACTCCAATCGAACCGTGACTATCGCAATCGCAATCTGTTAATTTTTATCGACAATCAGAAATTAAATAATAGGAAATAATTAAATAAATTTTAAATAAATAAATAATAGGAAATTATAATGATAATGGAAATGGGGTTTTTAAATTGTAAACGAAATTAAAAACAAAGGAAAAAAAACTTACTTATACAATCTGGAAATTTGTAATATCCAGGACTGCATTGATCGCAAGTTTTTCCAGCGAAATTCGCGAGACAGGAACATTTTCCAGTAACGTCACATCCAATAAATGATGAACCGATGGCGCTACAATTGCAAGGTTTGCAATTTGGATATCCAAAGTAGCCGTCGATGCAACGATCACATCTCTCGCCACCGTATCCTTCTTTGCACAGGCAGTGACCGTCGGTTTTGTCACAGACTCCGGGTTCAGTTCCCCGACTATCACAGTTACAATCTTGAAAAACATCATTTTTTATTATATTTTATTTTATTATTAATATATTTTATTTTAGTTAATACGATTATTTTATTAATTTATTATTTAGTTTTATTGTATGAATAATTTACTTACAGGTACACTCGGGATAATTGTAATAACCATCTTCGCAAATATCGCAAGTTCTTCCGCCGTAATTATTTTTGCAAGTACAATTTCCAGACAATACATCGCAAATATCGCTTAGGGATCCCAGAGAATTACAATTACAAGCTGAAAGAATAAATTTAATAAAAAAAAAAATTTTTAACACATGCATCACAGTACCTTTTCACCTCAAAAAAAAAAAAAAAAAGATAAAAAGGCAAATTTCTGAACTCTTTGCTAGAAAATAACTTTAATAAAATTTTTGAATTCAAATTCAAAAATAAGATGAAAATTAAAATATAAAAACGAATTAAATTTTTAAAAAAATTCGAATAGAAAACAATTTCAATTAAAAATTTGGAAATATTAAAGGATTGGAAATAATTAAGATAGAAATAAAATAAATTTACCTAAACACTCGGGAAAATTGAAGTAACCCTCAGCGCAAAGATTGCAATAATGACCGGCGTAATTTGGTTTACATGGACAGGAACCTTCAATAGCTTCACAATGATAACCATCAGTTCCATTGAGATGACACTCGCAAGGACGACAATTTGGATAGCCAAAGTAACCATAACTACATGAATCACAATTTGGAGCTTGATATTCAGGTCGGCATTCACATTTTCCAGTTGATTCGGCACAATTTCCCGTCGAGAAGAAATGATTACAATCACAAGCTGCGAAACAAAAAAATAATTAATTAAAAAATAATTAAATAATTAAAAAAAAATTCTTATAAAAAATGCAATTTTTATTAACGAAATAAAAAAAACTTTTCCGATACTCACGTTGACATACGTCGGTGTCATTCCAATGTTTTCTTTCAGGTCGATAGAATTTCTCTTTACAACGATTACAATTAATACCTTCCGTATTGTGTCTACAATTTTGACAAACACCACCACCTTCATAATTTCCATGGATATCCAATGATAAATGTTTCTCATCAATTTCCGGATCGTATTCGCATTCGTTTGTATGTCCAAAACAATTACAGGCTAAAAAAAATTAATTTTATTTTTATAATATCAATTTATTAATTTAGGAATAATTGCGAAATTTTTTATTTAAAATTTTGTAATTTAATTTTTAATTTTCGAAATTCGTTGCTGTTTTTAATTGGTGAAGAAAAAATAGTAAAAATTGTAAAATTTTCTGTTTAGATTTTTGTGATTGAATTTTTATTTTTCGAAATTCGTTGCTATTTTTAATTATAGAAAAGAAAATTTTAAAAATTGTAAAAAATCTGAAATTTGTCCAAAATCGAAAGCTGTGGACTACTAGAAAATAAATCAAATTAGAAAAGAAAATAAATAATTACGTTCGCAAGTGAATTTCGAAAGTCCAGTGGATATTCTCCATTTTTTTTGTTCGAAACCCTTGCAACAACTTGCACATTGTGGTCCACAAGTGTTGTGCTGGCATCTGCACACCAATTTCTTTGGCATATTTGGATCTAAAATATCGCAAGTATCTGCATGACCATTACACATACATCTTCCTCCAATACTGATGTCTTTAATCGAATAAAAATACTGAAAATTACAAAATATATTTTTTAAATCAATCACATTAAATTATATCATAAACACAAATTTTTTCCATTTATGTAATAATTCAATTTCCTATTATAATAATTATTTATTTATTTAGAAATTGTAAACGGTCTGTGTATAATATTATTATAATTTTCAGAATATTTGAAATTCTTCAAATTTGAATTAAAATTAATTAATTTCTTAATTTCTTAATTAAATTAATTAGAAATTTATTTATATTTCAAAAAAGGAAATTAACCTACCCTTCGAGTAACAGTTGGATCTTGTCTAGCGACAGACATCAAATGTCCGAGTAAATTTTTCGTTCTTAAAAAACGAAATCGCACATTTGTTGCTCTTGTCCATTCTTGCAATAGAGTTGAATTAAAATAATGTTTCGCCGATGGTCTATTATTTAAAATTGAAATTGGAATCTCCCCACCCTCGAGTGGTACAATTTTTGAATATTCAGTGGTACAAATTACACTGTCGTCTCTTGTAATTGGAGTATGACTATCGACACCAAAATAAGTTAAACAATCACTCTCAGAATCGGAAAAATATTGCCAAGGTGACCAAGTTTGTCCATAATCTTTCGATTTTTCCAAAACCCAAACACCCGGTCGTGGTGAATTTGCCATACGAACGTAAACATAGGCCACGTGAAATTCCTTAAAAAAAAAAAAAAAATTTCAATCAAAATTAGAATTTTTTTTACAAATTCATTTTGAAATTTTATTTAACTAAAATTTTATTTAACTAAAATTGAAAATTAAATTAAATTAAAAATTTAAAGTTTTCTATTTATTTATTTTAAATTTTTTCCTACAGTTTATTCAACTTTATTTATTTTTTTTTCATTTCTCTCTTTCGTTATTTTTACTTCTCAAGACATTGCTAAATGAATTTAACACCTCAAGTCAGTGTGAATTAATAAAAAAAAATTTGTTTTTTTTTTTATTAATTTTAAATTAAAAACTATTTTTTTCAAAAAATAAATTTTTTAATCATATCTAAATTGAAATGAATAATAAAATTTAATTTTCAAAGCAATAGTAACTGGAAAAAGTTATTACACAAAGCATAATGAGTTTCATTCTCCCTATTTTAGAATTTATACGAGTTCGCTGTGCTTTGAATCTAAGTTTAAAGCAGTGTAAGGGGAAACGTGCTTTAAGTTCATATCTTTAAAGAAATACAAAAACTAAGGCATGTGCACCACATGTGTGGGCGGGCCAAAACAGATGATCTCAGTTTGGACCACTTCTAAAAAAAAACATGTGGAAAAGATTCTTTTATGTATATGAATTTTCAAATGCAGATCATTTTCCTGTTTGTATAGACAAAAAAAAAATTGAAAATAAAATTCATTACTAAAAAATGTTTTTTAATTAAATGTCAGTAAATGATAATTTTTTCGTTTTTGAATAAAATACAATTTTTTTTTTTATAACAAAATAGAAATTAGAAAACAAATTTAAAAATTTTTAAGAAAGGTTTTTTAGAAATATGAATTTTAAAAATATGATTTTTTGAAATAGAATTTTTAAAAATATGATTTTTAGAAAAATTATTTTAAAAAATTTACATTATTCCGAAAATTCTTTATAAATAATAAATGATTACTCTAGTGAATTGCTGAATGAAGCTATGTCCTGTTTCGTTTTTATCATGAAACTCCTCCACCATGAAGATAATAATTCTTTATAAGAAAACAGGAAAACGCCTACGCTTTGATAATGTTCTTGGGTGATGGTCCTCTGAACATCCTTTAGTTTTTAGTTAAAAATCTTAAATAGAATCTTGAAAAAAAATTTTCTAAAATTTTCCACGCTTAAAACAAAATTTTTACAAATCGTTTTGGTTTTCAAAAAAAAAATTTAATTAATTAATTTTAATTGTCAAGCATGTAATAAAAAATTCTCTCTAAAAATATTCTTGCAAAAATTTGAGATTTCCGGAAATAGATGTAAATATTTAAATAAATAATGATGATTCGAAATAGAGATTTAAATATAAATTATAAAAACATTACCTGTCCTAAATTGATGGTCAGATTGACCTCGTTGTATTTCATCCCCCTGGAAAGGGGCGGTGATTGCCACCAAGTTTCCATACCATCGACAGCATGTTCTGGTGGATGACTTTTCTCCGGATCATTTGGATCACAATAATCGCAAACCTGAAAACATTTCATAGCGTTAATTAAATATTTAAAAAATTTTTTAATAATAATGATAGAAATTTTACAAAAATAATACTAGTTAATAAAAATTATTATTAATATGATTTTTTTTATTATTAATTTATTATTTTTTATTATTAATATTATTATTTATTTTCTCATGTAATTTTTATTATTATTATAAATATTATTGTTCGTATTCAGTTATATACTTTGTATAAATCGTAATTAGCAATCAGTTAATAAACAATGTGTAATAAACGTTATAAAATTAAAATTCTCATAATAATGAATGATATGTGAAATTATGATATTTCATATGGGGAAAATGTTCAAAGGTTCTAAAAAAAACTGTGAAAGAGAATGTAATTCAATGATATTTCAAGTTATCGTGAGGTCAACTTTATCACTTCCCCTTGTCGTTTTTCTTAGAGAATATTACCCAAATGGGATTGTATCAAATACAGCAGCATCCTTGTTTTGTAACACAGATCAGAGTACCCATCAAATTAATATTTTAAGTTCATCAAAATATGATAAAATTTTATGTGTCATCAACTTAAATAATAATTTTATAATTTTTATTTATGTATATAATAATTATTTAAAGGCAAATTTAATTTTTATTATTACAAATAAATAATAATAATAATAATAATAAATAATATTATAATTATTAATAAATATAATAAAAATTTAAAAAATATTAATTTTGTAACAAAAATTATATTTTACAAAAATTTTAATTTTATAAAAAAATTGTTTTGCAAAATATTAATATTACAAAAAAATTCTAAAAAAGAAAATTAATTTTATAAACAAATTATTTACTTAATATATTTTTTAAATATTTATTTACTTTACAAAAATTTTTTTAATTAATTTAGAATATATTCGAATCAACATTTTTAAGAAACTGAAATATTTGAAAAAAAAAATTTTTTGACGTGCAAAATGTTACGATTTTCTTTTAAAGAAATTGATTATCAGTATCAATTTTTTTTTTTTTTTACAAGTAAACATGAATCGGATCCCTCTCTTTGTGAAATTTATTCTTCGAAAAAGGATCCATTAAAAGGGACTTCGGGACTGGTTTTCGGTAGGCTGATCTTCCATACAAAACAGAATGGAGTTTGCTTCTTTTTGGTATTAGGGGACCTGTCTTCAAACTATTTCTATGGCAATCCCATAGTTGCCACAAAGGGATTAACTACATTACAAGGCAAACTCTTCTGATCTCGTATGTTATTCCTTCTATTTACAAAAAAAAAAAAAAAAAAAAAAAAAAAAATAAGAAAATTAAATCTTATTACACCAAAACATTACATTTTTTCTCAATTTAAATTACCAATTTAATTCAAAATTTGATAAAAAAAAAAATTTTTACAAACCTTGAATTTAAAAAATAAAAATAAAGACAGTATTTTGAATTTATAAATTGATTTTTTTTAAAACTTTTATTAAATAAAAACAGTTTGGAAATTTTTTTCTTCGGACACATTTTTTTTATCAAATTGTAATAAAAAATTGAAATCGCACTGTAAAAATAAATAAATATTATTTTTTTTTAATATAAAAGAAAATTGTAACTCACCTGTCCTTGAATTAAATTAATATCTTCCTTTTGATCAGCATTCGCACCAACTAATTTACAATAAAGTTCAGGACCCGTTGTATCGACACCGCATGTTGCTGATGCGGTAATTTCTTTTCCCTCTGCTAAATTGAAGTAAGGCGGTGTAAGAATTTCCGAATACACTTGATTAAATAAAAAAAATGGTAAAAAAATAACCATACACCACCGCATGGTGATGCCGGTTGAAAAAAAAAATTTTCAATGCACTCTCCAAGTTTTTCCTTCAATATTATAAATCACACGTCAATTTTATAACATCAAACTATAAATTGTCAGTCAACATTTGTGTAAAAAAAAAAAAAATCATGAAATTCCGGCGGCGTTTTGAACGCCGCCAATTTCTCTCTTCTTGAATTTTATAATGGGAGAGGCGCGTTCGGTTTCCCGTTTCAGACTGAGACACATCTGCATCCACTCGTCTAGGACCCAGGGATAGAGTCATGAGTGAGGGGATGGGAGAGTCAAAGATTCTGGATGCTGGATACTTGCACTAGAACATTTAAAGCCAAATAGACCAACAAAAAAGAGAACTGCTAAATTTCAAAACAAATTCTATTTTTGAATCACCAAAAGCATCACCATAATAATCTTTATTTCAATTTTCATCTCATTTTGGACCAATTTTTCAAAATAATTGATTTTAGTTCAAGATGAAATAAATTCTTTTTTATTATTACAGTAATAATAAAATATATTCAGTTCTAAAAAATTTAATTTTTAGTCAAAAATAATCCAGTTTATAAACAATATCAGCCCAATTATTAATATTTAAAAATAAAACTTACATTTTCTCACCGTTTTTCCTTATTTTCGTTTCAAAAAAGTGCCTAAAATTCATTCATATTTTTAGGGAGCGATAAGAAACAGATAGGGCTGACCTCCTGATAACATTATAATCTCTACTCCAATTTCAAATTTAAGCCACTCACAAATAATTTTTCGTTTCCTTAAAGTACAATAAATAAATAAGTAAAAATTAATAACAATTTACTTGTTTTTTATGATAAATATAAACAAATATTGATATAATATATAAATATTAATTTATATTAATAATAATATAATAATAATAGTAATAATAATATATTAATTTTGAAAACATTTTTAAAAACCAAAATAGAAAGAAAAAACTTGTAATATTTTGGAATTGAAAAATTCAAGGCAAATTAACAAATCAAATTATTTGCAAAGCATTCTTATATTTAAATAACTTCTGTTTGGCAAAAAAAAATATTCAATAAAAAAAATACATTAAAAAAAGGTTATAAATTCATCATAACTTACAATTTTTTTTTCACATTCATAAAATACGAATAACGCTACGAAGTTTAAATCACAAATCCAAAATATATATCCTAAACAAATTGTCTTTTAATTGCAAAAGAATTAATTTTTTCTCTTTCCGCTAAACGAGTTTTCCTGATACTCATTTGACGCGAAAATTGCGTTTTCGAATTTTAGTTACGAAAACTATTTTACAATAATAAACTACCATTAAAAAAAAAAAAAAAAAAAAAAAAATGAGTTCGTCGCTCAAATCACAGTGTTAAAAACAATGACCTTTTACTGTCGTTAATAATAATTATTTATAATAAACTATTTAACAAGTACTCAGTACTATTCTTCATTTTTTTTTTTCGCCTAGAAAATTCGACGTATTTTCTTATCATTAAATAACACGTATGAAAAGAAGTCTCTTAGATCTTAAAAATCTGAATGTTAATCACTTTTCTCTTTTTTTCAAGCGAAAATATTAAGTATTTATCACAAGTTTTATTAAAACTAACGAAAAATAATAGTTCTAAGTGTAAAAAAAAAAAAATAACGACTTTCGTATAATTTGAGGAAAATTTCCCTCGTGATGATAATAAAATTATTCGTTTTACAAAAAAAAATGCATTGTCGTAATGATTTTTAAAAATACATTTTTTTTTTATGGAAAAAAAACATTTTTCTCTTTAAAAAAAAAAACTCAATTTTCTTTTGTCAACTGACAAATAAGTTTAAAAAAAAAAAAAACAAACTAAAATTAAACTCGAGTTTCTCTTTTTTTTAAAGAAAAAAATTTTGATTTCTTGGCCCTGCATTAAAATAAAAAAAAAAAATTTCTTCACTCAATTCCATGAGCAAAAATCATGACTAATCCAGGTTCCACTATCATGTCCTCTGGCATATGTGTATTGTCACATTGTAAAACTAGAACCGCTTGCTTCCCAGGAATCCTTTTACAAATATAATTTTCGTATAAACGTCGGGAATTTTGTCTCGTTTCAAGTGAATTTAATCCCGGTGGCCATTTTCTCTCGTGACAATTTTCCATTAATTCATTAATCACATGCGATGGACAATTTATTTCCGAGAGTGTTCTTTTGATTAGTGTCTTTAAGAAATAATTTCAATTTTAATTTAAAACTAAATTTTGTATAAATAGATAAAAATATATTTAAAAAAAAATATATATATATTACCTGTAATAATTCATCAGGAGTCGATATCATTCCACCCCAACGTGTTACTCTGGCACGTGGTAATGTTCCAGACCATCGAACAACTTCATCGCGTTCCATTTGATCAGCAATTGTTTTCATCAATGGATTTGAAATTCTAATTGCTTTCATAAATTCTTTAAGTAATTGAATTTCACGTTTTTGTTCATTTAATTGAAATTGTTGTTCGCTTAATTCACGTTTCATATCCGAGAGTTTTTGTCGTTGCGATTGAATTAAATTCATTAATTCACGAACGCAATTATGATTTTTGATTTCGTCTTTTGGAATAATAAGACTGCAACCCTGTTCGCAGGGTATCAATCGTTTTGGATTAAATTCACATTCTTCCAAATGTGTACCAAGACTGTCGAGTTTGATTATTGCCTGACAGCCATGTGCTAAATTATCGCAATTGATGCATAAACGAGCCAGTAAATTTCTAAGGATTCGTGGTGCTGGCCTAAGCTGAGTTCCAGTGATTGGTGTGCGGTCAAGTGGACAAATTGGTTGACGACTGATCCATTCTTGAATACAATTTCTACAGAACGCATGTTCACACACAAGTGCCTGTAAACAAACATTTCGAATTTCAATCTGATAAAACGATAATCTTTTAATCTTGTTTCAAGTCTATTTACTTTAATGTGTATTATTGCAACAGTCAATTAATTTTTATTAATAATTTTTCATTAAAATTATATATAATATTCACTTTTATTTTTTTTTTATTTATTGTCCTTTTATTAAGATTTCTTTATTTTAAAAATTGACATTTGCAAAAATTGAGGTTATGTTTACGTAATTACACAGTACTGTCAAATATAACCAAAATTAAAATAAATAATTAAATCTAAATGTTGTAATGAAAATTAATAGAAAATTAATTATTATTAATCGTATTATTAAATACGATATTACAAGAAAATTGACATATTAACAAAAACAATTTCAGGTATATATTATAATAAGTCAATATATTCATTGAATAAAAATAATAAATCTGTTTATACCCCTTAAAAATTGAAAACCCCTTTTTTTTCTCTTTTTTATAGAAATGTCGGAAATGTCAAACATGTCAACACAACAATAATGAAAAAAGTTAGGTTAGGTTACTTGTAAGAAGATTTAATTCAAATTTTAAATACTTTATAGAAAAAACTAGTACCTGTACAGGATCTTCAAGGACAGAAGAACATATCGGACATACGAGTTCTTCGTCAACATCTCCTTGAAAACGTTCTAAATCAAAACCCATTTCACTTACACAAACACACACACCTCTTTTTCTTGATCAAGTTCGTATTTTTACTAAATAATTTTTTACTTTACACAAGTTTTAAGAAAAGAATATGGTATAAAATTTACATAAAATTATCTTTCTTCTTTTTTGAATAACAACTTAATTAAACAAAAATCACTTCACTTTTCTTAGAAATGTGTCTTTTTCACGCGCACCTGTACAGCTTTCACAAGACGTTCTCCATACCACCATAAAATTAAAATTTCCGAACAGTCACGACAACTTCCGAACATTACCGAGATGAAATATTGAAATACAAAAAAAAATGGTATTAAAAAATATTTGAAATTACTATGAAAGCTTGTTTTACTTATACAAGAGTGGATAAAAAGTAAATAAAAAGGATATTTTTAAATATTTAAACGAAGATAAATTTAGATATACGTAAGTATTGAAATACAACGTTTGAATCACGTGCTATCATTTAGGTTAGATTATTTACCTTTGTATATTTGACAGTTTTGAATTAGTAAATTGTTTTTAAAATTAAATTTTGAATTGCAATTACAAAATGTAGTTTTATATTTTTATGATAAAGAATTGTTTGCTTTTTATTTAAATTTTTTGGTTATAATATAGGTAATATAGTTTGTACTATAAGTGAAACACACACGTGTATGAGGTGTTGTCAAGCGAAAGGGGTAACTCTGTGATAAATTATAATTATGTAATAATCAATTAATTACCATTTATTATATTATATTGAAAATAATACAAAAAAACAATTGAATTTATTAATTCCAATGGAATATCCACGTGCAATTTATTTAATAATTTGCACTGAATTTTGCGAAAGATTTTCCTTTTGTGGACTCCGAAGTAAGTTTTTATTTTATTAATATTATTAATAATAACTAATTAATAATAATTATTTTTTATTAATGTTAATTAATAAATTAATAAATAATTTTTCAAATATAGCAATTCTTTCACTATATCTTCGTAATGTTTTATTATTTCCTGAAAACGAATCAACAGTGATTTATCATATTTTTATAATGTTTTGTTATTTGATTCCTGTATTGGGAGCAATACTTGCAGACAGTTATTTAGGACGATTCAGGTGCAAAAATTTAATTAAACATTATTTTTTTTTAATACAAAAAAAAAATGGAAAATTATTAATTTTTTTTTTATTTTTAGAACAATTTTTTATTTTTCCATTATTTATGCAATTGGAAGTGTTCTCATGTGTTTTGCTGCAATTCCACCTGTTGCTTTTTGGCCAAAGTAATTAATATATTTTTTTTTCCAAAATTATTCGATTTCAATTTTATTATTTTATTTTTAGAAATAAATTTGTAATTATAAAAAAAATTTATAATTATAAATTAAGTTTTTCTTTGAATTTATAAAAATTAAAATTCTTTTTTCAATTTTTTCAACTAGAGGCATGATATTTTTTGGATTATTTTTAATTGCTTGTGGAACTGGAGGAATAAAACCTTGTGTAGCAGCATTTGGAGGTGATCAATTTCACTTGCCATTGCAAGAAAAATATCTCCAACAATTTTTTTCCATTTTTTATTTTACCATTAACTTTGGAGGACTCGTTGGAATGATTTTAATTCCGTTCTTAAGAAAATCTGTTAATTGCTTCGATGACGATACATGCTATGCGCTTGGTTTCGGATTTCCCGCAGCATTAATGATAATTTCATTAAGTCATTATAAAATAATTATTAATAATATTCTCATTAATATCTTTTTAAAATTATTATTAATTATTATTTTTAATTTTGTTGGTTTTTTTTTAATTTTTATTTTTGATTTATCAGTAATAATTAAATTAAAAATATTTTTATTAATTTTTTTTTTATTTATATATTTTTAAAAAATTTTAATCCACAGTATTATTTCTAATTGGAAAACCTCTTTATCGTCTCAAATATCCTAAAGAAAATATAATACTCAGTTTTTTGCGTTGCATAATTGTAAGTGATTTATTTTTCTAGTTGAAAAATTGAAAATATTAATTATTATATAAAATTTAATTTACAAAAGTATTCTGTACGAAAATTATGTCAAAATAATAATTCGGAAATTCAAAAACACTGGTTGGATAATTCTCAGAAAAAATTTTCTCCAAAATTAATATCTGATATAAAAATAGTACTTGCAGTATTATATTTGTATATTCCTTTGCCTCTATTTTGGAGTCTTTTTGATCAACAGGTTTACGTTTAATTAATAATTAATAGGCATTAAATAATTAATTAGTTAATTTATCAATGATAATTAATAATAATTTTTTAATTTATTAATTTAATAATTTTTTGATTTATTTATTTATTAATTAATGAAACATTATTTACACTTTTGTGAAAATAAATTTATCGAAAAATTTTTTTATTTTACTTATCAATAAAATAGAAATGAATTAAAATGTAATATTTAATCTCTTGATTTAAATCAGGGATCACGTTGGACATTTCAAGCATCAAGAATGAATGGTTACATTTGGAATGTACAAATTTTACCAGATCAACTACAGGTTTAATAAATTAATTATTTGTTTAATGAAACAATTATTGTTTTGAAAATAAATTCAATTATTATTATAAGTTTTGTGCCAATAGGTTATAAATCCAGCCCTAGTGCTATGTTTGATTCCGATATTTGACAAAGGCATATATCCGATTTTCAATAAATTATGTAGACTAAATTCTGCCTTAAATCGTATGATTATTGGCGGAATATTTGCTGGATTTGCATTTATTACCAGCGGCTTTTTGGAATTACAATTAGAAGTACTGAAAATTAATATTTAATTTAATATATCATAATGTATTCAATTAATAATCATTAAATTTATAATAATAATAATAATTATTATTATTATTATATAGAGGATAAATTTAATTTATAATTCAAAATTAAGTAAACATATTAAAAAAATGATAAATCACTTCGTTTTCATGAAAAAATTAAATTTGAAAAAAAATTATTGAATTAATTAATTTTATTTATTAATTTTATTATTATTTATTTTATTTTTTATTTATTAATTTTGTTTTTTTTTTAACAGAAATCCTATCCAATTTTGCCAAGAAATGGAGAAGCGACATTGAATTTTATTAACACATTGAACTGTGATGTTGAAATTCGATCAACATTCCATTCAAATTATATTTTGAACGAAGCAGGTGAGAAAAATATATTTAATATAAGAGCAAATAATTTTTCTCTCCATAAATTTTATCTTCAAGTGCCAATTGATTGTCGACATTCTGAATTGATTAATTCAATATTAAGCACGAACGTTGAAGCAAAAGAATTTCAGATTCATACTTTATTGATTGGAATAGTAGATAGAAAAATTTATCTTTTTCCGATCGAATTCGATTCATATTCAAAAAATCTTAATGGACGTTCAAAATTACGGTACACGAATTATAATTAAAAAAATAATTATCACATTTTTATAATATGAAACAAAAAAAAACATTATTTAATTTTAAGTTTAAATTTACAATTAATTTTTTCTACTAATTAAAATAATAATAATTATAAATAAATAATCTTAGGTTCATTTTCTTAAGAGATTTAAAAGATGATACAAGTGTTACAATAAATTTAAAAAGTATGCGTAATTATAAAAAGAAATTTATATTCGTCAAAGGAAAATTTTTATCAGTGTCAGCTTATTGGGAATTAGAACCAGGACTGTGGGTTTCCCATTATTTTTTATTAAATTGAAAAATTTCTTTTTTTGATAAAAAATCAATTAATCAAAAAATTTTTTTTATTCACATTAATTATTATATATTTTAAATTGCAATAATTTCATTTTCGATAAAGAAAATCAATTAATCAAAAAAATTTTTTTATTTACATTAATTATTATATTTTAAATTGCAAAAATTTTATTTTCGATAAAAAATGAATTAATCAAAAATTTCTTAATTAACATTATATTTTAAAAATATAAAAATATATAAAGAATATAAAATTAAAATAAAATATAAAACAACTATTTTTTAAATATTACATTTTTTGAGTAAAAGAAATTTTCTTTTTTTTTTTTTGATAGAATATTTTATTAGTTTACAGTATAAGATTTCTAATGATATAAATCGCCGTACGATTTATCAAGATTCGATAGAACTGTCTTCCGGTGGAGTTTATATTCTGGTGATTAGAATACATCAAAGTCAAGTGGCAGTATGAGATATTTTTTCAATTTTATTCAATTTAAAAAGAAAATTTTTTTAATAATATAAAAAAATAAATAGTAAGAAATTTTTAAATAAATTTTAATATTAAAATTGAAAATGTTATTTTTTTAAATTTTATTTAAATTCAAAATTTTATTTAAATTTAAAATGTTATTTAAATTCAAAATTTTATTTAAATATAAAATGTTATTTAAATTCAAACTTTTATTTAAATTCAAAATATTCAAAATTTTATTTAACTTCAAAATGTTATTTAAATTTGAAATTTTATTTAAAATTAAAATTTTATTTAAATTTAATATTTATTATTTCCTGCAATGTTTCCTATAGTTTCATTATTTTTAGAAATGACTTTTTAATTGTAATGACTCCAATGTCTGGGATTTTTTTTTTGTTTTGAAGAAAAAGTCATTTTGGAGTAAATTTTAATTATTAAAAAAAAATCAATATTTTTCCGAATAATTTTCAAAATTCTATTAATTTTATAAATATTTATAAAATAAAATAGTTTCAGAAACTTTTCACAATGACTCAACCAAACGAAATTCACATTCTTTGGCTTTTTCCTCAATATATTTTAATTTCAATAGCAGAAATTTTATTTGCCATTTCTGGATTAGAATTTTCATTTACACAAGTAATTTTTGGAAAATTCCATAATTTTTTTTTTTATAGTACCCTTTTATGGGAATTTTTTAAATAAAAAAAAATTTCTGGATTAATTATACGATAGATAAATAAAATAGTATATATACAAAATTTCATTAAAAATTAATTAATTCAAAAATAAATATTTTTTTTTGAAAGCAAAAAATAAAATGTTTTTTTTTTTTTAAATTTTTAGGCACCAAAAAGTATGAGGACTATAACAATTGCTGCTTGGTATTTGAGTGTTGCCATTGGTAATTTATTGGTGATAATTATAATTCAATCACAATTTTTCAACAGCCAAGTAAATTTGTTAAATTAATAATTGAATTAATTAATTATCAAATTATTGATTATTAATTTTATTAAAATATTAGTTATTAATTTTATTGAAATATTAGTTATTAATTTTATTAAAATATTAGTTACTAATTTTATTTAAATATTATAATTTAATTATATTTTCAAAAATAAAAATTATAATTTCAGGCGAATGAATTTTTTCTATTTGCCGGATTAATATTGCTTAATATGATAATTTTTGCCATTATGACAAGACAATATAAATTTGTATTATTGGAAGCTGATTCAAGTAATGATCCATTGTTTTTCAAGAATAAAAAAAATGAAAGGGATCTTGAACCATTGATAAAAATTCCAAATTCTCATACTTCTTTGATAGCTAATTCAAATTAATATCCGTATATTATATAAATAAATTAATAAATTAATTGATTAATAAAGAAATAAATAAATAAATTTTTTTTAAATTCGAAAAATTATTTTTTTTTATAAAATCAAATGCTTTTTTAAAAAATAAATTGTATATATAATATAACTTCCGAAAAAATTGATTTTTGCTGCGATTTTATAGAATCAATATTAATTTTTATATCTCCATAAAATCGAGATTAAACCGTCTGACGTTTAATCTTATAATGATCTGTGTTATTGATAAATTTTATCTGAATAAATAACGATTTTAACGCGACGTATTTTTTGAAACGTCAATTCAAATAATCTTATAATATTGATTTTTTTTTTTTTACTATTTTTTGAAATCATTTTTTTTGTTTTTTTTTTGTATTTTCAGGACTATTAAAAATTATAAAGGATGTGGATCATTAATTTTATCTAAAAAAAAAAAAAAAAAATTATGAAATAATGTGGAAATTCAAATTCTGGACCAGTTTTTCTGAATTTGAATTATTCGCGCAGATATTTATATATTCCATTGCCAGTTTCTCCTTGACAGAAACTTTACATAATAATTCGTACAGTGAAAGTTCTTTATATAGAAGGAAACATTTGTACAGAGAATGTGTAAATTAAAAATGAAGATAATAAATCAAATTTTAATTCTTGACAATTATAAAATGACAATCGAAAACTTTATAAGTCATCTATTCAAATGATAATACAATCTATTATATACACACTTGAAAAAAAGAAAACTATTATTTTTATTGATTTTAATTTTTATTTTAATTTTTTTTTTGTATTTATTTTATTATTTATTTATGCAGGTTCCTTTTTTTATTTATATTGTTTATATTTTTAATAATAAAAAAAATAAATAATAGAAAAATTATTATTTTTATTGATTTTATTATTTTTTTTTTAAATTATAATTTAATTTTTTTATACAGGTTTTATTTATAAAAAAAAAAAATATACAAATGTTAGTTTCTAAATATTACACTTTGCTATAGTAAAATACTTAATACTTTCTGAGAAATAATAAAAAGAAACCGTGTGTAATTATGATTTTTATTCAGAAACTTGTTATAAATGTACTCACGAAGCATAAAGTACATTTTGATTAAAAAAAAATATATTATTTAACCCGCACGATTTGTTATTTAATTCAAAAATGATAAAGAAAAAAAAATTAAATAATCTTACCTCTATTACATAGTAAAAAAAAAATGGAAAAATAGATAAATTTTAATATTTAACATTTTTTTTATGCAACAGTTTTAGTTTCATTTATTTTTTCGTTTAAATTTTATTTTAAACGTTTTAGAGATTTTTTTAAATTAGATATTTTTTTTTTTTTTTTATTACTGTCGTGACAATGTCGATGACATGGTTTGCGAAGCAATCGTTTAGAAGATTGGTAATTACACTTAATTGACAATAATAATCACTTACTTGAATTGCAATAATTATTTCAAAAAACCAATCAAAAATTATTATTAAAAAACAAGAGAAAAATTTAGTCAATCGAAATTATAATATTTAAATTTCGTATTTCAATTAAAAATTTACAAAAAGAAATTAATTTAAATCAAGTAAAAAAAAAAAAAAAAAAAAATTCGAAACTTGTTCCAATGTGATATACATAATTTGAAACTTGTTCGAACTGATTCGGAATCTGTCCTAACTTATTTACAAATTCCTAAAATTGTTTCGAAAATTTTTCGAACTGGTTTGTAACTTGTACCAACTAATTAGAAATTGGTTCTAAATTGTTCCTAATTTATTGCAACTAATTCAAAACTTGTCCTAACTTGTTGCAAATATTTCGAAACTTGTTCGAAACTTGTTCGAACTGATTCCAAACTTGTTCTAATTTGTTTGAACTGATTCGAAACTTATCAGAACTTGTTTCAAATTTGTTATAACTTATTTCAATTAATTCAAAACGTGTTCTAACTTGTCATAACTAATTCGAAACTTGTTGCAACTAATTTAAAACTTGTCCTAACTTGTTCGAACTGATTTAAAACTTATTCTAACTTGTTTACAACTTGTATGAAAAAAAAATTCGAAACTTATTCTAAGTTGTTTGTAACTTATTACAAGTATTTTGAAACTTGTCCTCAATTGTTACAAATATTGCGAAACTTGTTCGAACTGATTCCAAACTTGTCCTAACTTGTTTGAACTGATTCGAAACTTGTTCTAAATTATTCCAATTAATTCAAAACGTATTCTTACTTGTTCTAATTCATTCCAATTAATTCAAAACGTGTTCTAACTTGTTTCAACTAATTCGAAACTTGTTTGTACTCGTTTGAAACTTGTCCATTTATAAAATTCAAACAGAAAAATTGTTAATAAATTAATGAACTCTTTAATTTAAGTCAATTGTCGATTTCAACCTTTGTATATCTCTCTGTTTTCCGAGGAAAAATGTATTTCCAGGAAGTGTGATAATCATTGGATAAAAAAATTTTCTTGAATATGAAATTTTTATTTTCTCGAAGGTCTTTTTTAAAACTTTTTTTTTTTTTTTTTTTTTTTTCGGAATTGAAGGAAATTTGATGATTGTCAAAATCATCAATGAACTATATCTATATTGTATTTCTTATATATTGAGAATCTGGACACGTTTTATTTGAACTATTTATCCCCACTTTTTTTTTTTCATGTGTTGTCAGAACGACTTTGGCCTACAGATTGGTTCGAGGCTTTTATGTTACAGACTTCTTCACGCTCAGCGACTTTCACATCATTTTCAATGCTTACAATACAGTGTAACAGTAGCAGTTGAACGGAACAGTGTCATATATAAATGTCTTAAACGACGTAACGCATTTATACACATGTCATAACACAATTTTTATAAACAAAATGTATTATTATTACAGTTGAACGTTTTCACTTTTTTAGTTTTTTTTTTTTTTTTTAAATTATTCAATTTGTAGAATAGTTTTTAATATTTTTTTTTTTTTCTTTGAGGACATTTTGTGATATATGTGATATAAATTTTAAAAAGTTTTGTTATTGTTATTATTAATATTTACAATGGAGGAAAAAATGGGTGATACGCAAAAGGTGTGTATTTGTTGTAATTTTTAATTAAAAAAAAAATTTTGTTTTTTAAAATCACATTTTTTTTTAAATTTTATTTTTATTTATTTTCATTAATTTTTGTTTATTTGATTATTTATTAATTATTTTGGAATACTGGTATTTTACAATACTTGGTATTTTTAAATTTGCATATAGATTATTTTACTTATTGTAATTTACTTAATAATTAATTTGTATTTTTATATATTTATTGAATTTAATTAATTAATTTTAATTTTTTTATATAATTGTACTTTTAATTTACATATATAGATATTAATAAAAGAAAAGATAAAAAAAGCTTGACTATACTTTGCGAACCTTTATGAAAAAAAAAGATAACAAAATATGATAAAAAAAAAGAATCATGAACAACTTTTAAAAAAAAAATATTCTCTTCAATTGAATTTGAAAGTAAATACTTGAAAATAATTGAAAAAATTGCAGTACCTAAATAAAAATTACTCAATAAAAAAATATTTTAATTTATTAATTATTAATTATATTATTTATTTAATTATTAATTATTTAATTAATAATAATAATAATAATAATAAATACAAAATAACAATAATTTATTATTAATTTATTATTAACTTATTATCAATTAATTATTAATTATATTAATTAATTGAAAATTATTGTAAAAAAGTTTAATTAGAATTTCTCCAAAACATTTAAATTGAAAAATAATTTAACTCATTTGAAATTGATAATAAATAATTAAATTTGATTATTTAATTAATTTAATTATTTAAATAAATATTAGATTTTTTATTTCTCCATTGTGTACTTTTTACAAAGTTTTACAATTTTTTCTTTCCCACTAGTTTTTTTTCTAAAAAGCTATATACATCAACATAATGAACAAACGTAAAATAGAACATAAAAAAAATACAAAATTATTTAAATAAATAAAAAATATATATAAAAAAAAATTGAAGTCAATTTTAACCAATCGAATAAATAAATAATAATTGAAATAATTGAATATAAAAAAAATAAATTATATTGTACAGTGCATTCAAGTCGATAGTCTACATAACAATTTGGGATAAAAAAAAAGTCATAAAAAAAATGAATGGAACTAAAAATAATTCTAGCATTTGCAGATTGATACAATTATTATGTTAATTGAGTCACGAGTAATTGAAAATTATTCAAACAATATGATTGAAATTAATTTTTTTTTTAAATTTGAATTTAGAAACAATTAGAATAATTTTTATTGATAAAATTTTCAATAATCGAAATAAATGCAGTAATAAGTAATTGAAGACAATTTAATTGGAATAATATTTGTATAATTTAATACGGAAGTCAATTAAAAACAATTATTGGATTGAAGAAAGTACTATTTTAATATTCTTTATTTATTATTTATTTATTATTTATTGTTTTTTATTTATTTGTTACAATTTATTTAATTTATTTATAATTCATAGTTCATGCCTTTCGACTTTGAACACAAATTTATTTAATTATTTTTAGCTGATTATTGAATAAAATTTATTTTTTTTACTAAAAAAAAAAACTTGTTCTTTGTACCTAAATAAATATTTTTGCTGATTAAAATGAATTTTTCCTCTCAAGTGTTTATTTTATCACAAAAATAAAAATCTCACAAGTTAAATTTGTACTTTCGTTTTTATCAAGATCAATATTTAATCATTGGAAATAATTTTTTTTTTCTAAACAGAATATTTGAAAATTGTAAAATTCAAATGTTCATTGTAAATAAAATATTTAATATTGAGTAATAAATTATTAGTCAATAAATATTACATAATAAATAATAATAATAAATTAAATAATAAATATAAAGTAAAAAAATATGAAAATAATAAAATTTCAAATAATAAATATTATAAAAAATAAATACAATAAAAAAAAATAGAGAAAAAAGGAGAAATCTTTTTTATATATAGTTATAGTTGTTGTGACAATTGTCATTTATTACATTTGTTTTCCGTACGTTATCTTCGTTTTTAGAAAAGGTAGGCCATGGTCGAATAAAAATCATTGTGCATTTAAATTGTCAATACAGGCCATAATTTAAAAAAAAAAAATTTGCATTTTCATAGAGAATTCTAATGATATATTTTTTTTAAAAAATGCTACTTCTTGTTGTATAAAAAATTAATTTTTTTTTTTGCTTAAATTCTTTTTTTAAATTGAAAAATCAATTCTTATTTCACATTTTATGAACAATATTTTAAAAATGATTTTTAATTATTTAAAAAAATAAAATTTAAAAGAAAATCAAAACTGTCAATTAAATATTTTTATTTTTTTTTGTATTTATTTAACAAAAGTAAACCGATAAATAAAAACGAAATTTTAGTTTATTTTGTTTAGATTTAAAAATAGGAGATTTTTTTATATCTCTATTTCATTCACAACAACCGGATATTGCTATGTAGGATTTTTCTCATATATATACAAAGCTAGTATAGACTTTTAGGAATGCAGTTCGTTGATTATGGAATGTTGGTTACCGTTCATTGACTTTTGAACTATATTTATTTTATTTTTTTGTCAATTGACAATAATTAAGAAAATAAAAATTTAAAAATAAAAACATTGAATTTTTGCGGTGAATTAATTATTTTATTGCCTTACTTCCTCATTTGAAATTCGTTCATTTACACGCTATATAAAATGCAATGTCATATAAGTTCGCGTCATAAAAAGATCATGTGAGTCCTTTGGTTCATAAATGAAGAAAAATGCATTCAATAGAGACTACAAAAAGTATATATACAATATCTCTTTTAATAACGCAACAATTATATTTCACACAATATTTTCTCGGAAATCTTCCCATAAAACTTATTTATTACATCGTTAATACAATGAATTTTCATAAACTTGAAAACAAAAAAAAAAAAAAAACATTCTCATTTTATTCATCAACAAATTGCTAATATTTACATTTTATTTGTCCAAACAAAAAAAGATGTTCTAAATTTAAAATCAAATAAAATTTAATTATTCTCAAAAATTTGAATTCAAAATTAATTGAATTTTCAATAATTTGAATTTAAAAGCATCTAAAATTTAATTATTTCTAAAATTTTCCATCGAAATTTTTTTTTGTTGAAATTTAATAATTTCAATTATAACTCTAAGGAAATTCAATTATTTTTAACTATTTTAATAATATTCGTTGAAAATTCAACTATCTGAAACCATTTTTCAATTAAAAATGATTTTCAAATTATTGTATTTTGTCCGCATTTTCTAATAAATTTTTAGTGAAATCATCTAAAATTTTAATTACAAAACACTTAAACTTTCAATTAATTTCAAAAATCTCAATTTTAAATCTTTGAAAATTCAATTAAATTTAAAATATGTTTTCCAAAAATTGTTTGATAAATTATTTTTAGTTCTGTAAAATTTAATAATATTGTTTGAAAATTAACAATATCTTTTGAAATTTAATTATTGCTAAAAATTTTAACTTTAACCCTTCGAAAAGGATTATTATTAAAAAAATAAATTTTTTATTTAAAAATCTGTAAAATATTTTTGTTAAAATAAAAAACGAATCCACTTTTTTTTGGAATATAAATCGACTAAAACGACTTTTTGTGTCTTTAAGTTAATTCGAGGTCTGTGTTTTTATAATTAATATTTAATAGGTATTCGTTAGCCCTTGGTACCTTAAAAATTAATTTTTAAAAATAAATTTTTTTCAAATTACTATCTTGTACGAAATTTCCTGGCGCATCTTTTTTCTCATCATAAATTTTTTGTATTTGTATACAATTTTTGAATCAATATACAATAACTTTAAAAAAAATTTCGTTGGTAAACGAATTTTCGAATTTGGAATTTTAAAGAAACTTATTCCGAAATTTGAAAACACAATTATACAACTTTGGCAAAAATGAGAAAAAGAATTGTCAAAATTTGACACGTTATAAGATTAGTATTCAAAAAAACATGTGAAATCAGAAAAGGCCAACTTCAAGTTAGGACAGAAGGACAGACTAAGCATTTTATTATTATATTATTTTTTTTTAATACTAAATTTTTTTATTAAAAAAAAAATTGTTTAGTAAAACATTTTTTTTATTAAAAAAATTTGTTTGGTAAAAAAATTTTTTTTTAACAGTAAAAAATAAATAAGAAACAAAAATAGTTTTTATTATGATAATTCGAAATGTTTATTTTTAAATAAAATATTTATATCTCATTGAAAAGAACAATAAAGAGGATTATTTAGGTTTATAATATTTTATCGTGTCATTATGCACTTTGATAATGTTTTGTGACATGGAATTTTTATAATGTAATGCGTGCAAATAATCAACGTAAATAAAAAAGATTTTATGATGTCATTGATTAATTTTCCTTTTTTGAAGAGATTTTTCATTTCGAGGATATTTACCTTAAAATTTTTTTTTAAAAAGTACTAATTCTTCATACAGATAACAAAAGAATGCGAATGAAACTTAAACAATAAGAAATTTGCAATCTGAAAATAATCAAGATAAAATATTCTGTATCAGAAACATTTTGAAGTATGTATTTATATTTAAATAAAAAAAATGTAATTTTTATTTATCTGTTTTTTCAATTTAACTATTTTTTTATTATTATTATTATTATTAATTTATTTTTATTATTTATTATTTGTTACTAATTATTTACATTATAAAAAATTTCATTGGGTAAATTTTTATTATTTGAAAAGAATTGTATTATTTATTTATAAATATAAAATTGCTTCAAAATTATAATTATAAGTGACATGCATATAATAGTTTTATAATCTTATCTTTTTGTATTAAATGTCTTTTATCATCAATAGAGAAATTTTTTTTTTATTATATAAATTAAAAAAAAAAAGGTGTTAACCGAGGCATTTAAACAATTATCGAACAATTTTCAATCTACTGATAATTGACCCGTTTAAATGGTTATCTTTTATTTTTCTTCATGGTATTCTAAATAATTAGCAAGCGATTAAAATATTTCAATATTTATTAGAAATAATATCTTTTTTTTAATTAATTAAAAATATAATAAAATAAAATTTTATATTTAAATTATTATATCAACAAAATTATTTATTTACCATTTAACAATTATTAACAAATAATAATTAAAAAAAAGAAAAAGGAAAAAAAAATTAATAAATTATTTTTACTTTTTTCCTCTCAATAGAAGTTGAAGTATCCAAAGTCAGTGTTCTTCATCATCAGCAATGAATTCTGTGAAAGATTCGCTTTTTATGGAATGCGAAGTATGATTATTGAGATATTAAAATTTTTTTTTTCTTTTTCATAAATAATATGAAATTTTTTTTTTTTTTCAGCGATATTGTCAATGTACTTTTTTAATATATTACTGTACACTAAAAATACATCGACAGTTATTTTTCACGTTTTCACAATGTTGGCATATTTAATGCCATTATTTGGAGCAATGTTGGCCGATTCACTTCTTGGAAAGTTTAAAACTATTTTTTATATCAGTATTATTTATACTATTGGACAATTTTTATTGTCAGCAAGCGCAACACCTTGGCTTGATTTTGCACCACGGTAAATATTACAAATACAATTTTTTTTTTTTTTTATTACAAAAAATTCCAAATAAAAATAGAAAATAGAGAAATTACTATAAAAATAGCTATAAAAATAATTAAGTAAATAAATGTCAGCCATAATCCATTATTATTAATGTATATATTTATTTTTCAATTTTTCAATTGGGTTAAAGACTTGTTTTTTTGTATCAAGGATTATTACTTTTCAGCAGATGTGTGAAAAAAAATAGAAAGTTGAATTATTTGTTATTAATTACTTATATGGTTATTTATTATAATAATTATAAAAAACCTGTTTTATTTGAAATCAATATTTCTAATAGTTAAAAATGAAAATTTATAATATTTTGTTTTGAAATATTATTATTAAAAAACGAAAAAATTAGTTGAATTCAATTTTTTCTATTTTCTATTTTTCTATTTATTATTATTTAAAAATTTTTTTGTTTATAAAAAATTTTATTGAAAAATCAATAATTGAAAATAAATTTTTTTTCAGAGAATTTGGAATACTTGGCCTTGTGTTAGTGGCAATAGGAACAGGTGGGATAAAACCATGTGTATCTGCTTTTGGAGGCGATCAATTTGTCCTACCTCAACAGGAAGCATCTTTGATAAAATTTTTTTCACTTTTTTATTTTGCTATAAATTCTGGTTCTTTGATTTCAACTTTCATCACTCCAATCTTCAGAGAGGACATTCCATGTTTTGGTCAGAAAACCTGTTACTCACTCGCCTTTTTCGTACCAGCTGTTTTAATGGCTCTATCATTAGGTGTGACAACATCTATATCTAAATCAAAACTAAAAAAAAATTTTCATTAGAATTTTAAATTTTCTCTAAAATTATTTACTAATTTTTTTAATTTTTAATAATTATTACAGAAAAAAAAGTTATTACTTTTTAATATTTGCAAAATTTCAATTTAATTTGCAAAATTAGGTTTCTTTTTTAAAAAATTATTTTTATTTTATTACAGTGATTTTTGTTCTTGGCAAACCTCTCTATAGAATGAAAAAACCCGAAGGCAATGTCGTGTTGAATGTGTGTAAATGCATAGGGGTGAGTTTTTCTTAATTTATATATAGAAAATTAATTAATAATCGATTATTTTTTAATTTTATTAGAAATTGATGACTAATAGTTTAATTGAATAAAAAAAAAATGTTTAGTAAATTAATTAGTAAAAATTAGAAATTTATTTTGCTAATTTTATTGGAGACAATAAAAAATTAATACACAATAATAAATTTAGTCAATTTATTTATGTAATAAATTTATTAAACAAATTTAGTACATAAATTTACACAATAATAATCAATTTATTTATGTAGTAAATTTAGTAAACAAATTTAGTATTTAAATTTAATGAATAAATTTAGTAAATAAATTTAGTGAACTAAATTTATTTACTAATTTCGTTTACTAAATTTGCTAATTAATTTCGTTTACCAAATTTATTTACTATATTTTTAAAAATAATTTAATAAATTCATTTAACATAAATAAATTGTATAATATTATTAGGTTAAATCAAAAATAGAAAATAGAAAAATAAAGCTTACTTTTCAAAAAAAAAAAATAATAATAATAATAGCACGCCCTTGGAAGAAAATGGAAATCATCGAGTCATCATAGAAGAGATCATTGGTTGGATTATGCCGACGATAAATACACGAAAAAAATGATTGAAGATGTAAAATCGGCATTAAAAGTTTTAAAACTTTTTTTGCCATTACCCATTTTTTGGGCACTTTTCGATCAACAAGGATCAAGATGGACATTTCAGGCTAACAATATGAAAGGTGAAATTGGAAGTTTTGAATTGAAACCTGATCAAATGCAAGTGGTTAATCCACTTTTAATTTTAATCTTCATTCCACTCTTCAATAGTTATTTATATCCAATTTTTAAAAAATTACACATTTTCGACACGCCACTCAAAAAATTAACTTTGGGTGGCATATTGGCAGCGTGTGCCTTTATTCTGTCAGCGGTTGTGGAATTTCAAGTCGAGGTATCTAAAAAAAAAAAAATAATAATAATTAGATAAAATAAATAATAATTTTAGATAAAATTAATAATAATTGGATTAAATTATTAATAATTAATTTCAATGTTAAATAATAAGAAAGTAGATTAAAAGTTAAAATAAAAAAAAAAAAAATTTTTTTTTTAATTAAAAGAAAGGGTATCCAGTTCAACCCACTGCCGGTAAAGCTCAATTAAGAATATTCAATACTTTGAATTGTTCTATACCAATGACAGTACGAGACGAGAGTTTTGAACTCAAGGCACTTGATTTTTGGGAACATAAAGATATATTGGCAAATGATTATGCGAATGTTACTTTTAAAGCTGATTTTGCATTTTGTCATAAGGAAAAATATTCCATTCCTTCTGGAGAAGTAAAAGGTAATTCAATTTCTTTTTAATTTTATTGAATTTAATTTTAAATTGTAAAAATTGAAATTAATTTTTTTTTTCACAGGTGTTATTCGAGCTGTTGAAAATAAAGCAACATCATGGGTTATCACAAAAAATGGTTTAGATTTTGCATACAATGATTCAGTGACAAGAACTGATAAAAGAGATTTACGTATTCGAGCAGTAATATGGTCTGATTATGAAAAAGGCAAATTAAAATTAATTAAAAGTGATGGAATAAATTTGACATTTAATATTAGTGAAAATTTTAATGTCACTGATTTAGAAAATATGTACAGTGGTGTATATGATATTTATTGGAATGAAAAATTAGTGAAAGAATCAGTAAAATTAAAACGAGGCGGTGTTTATACAATAACTGGTTATTTAACTGAAAAAGTGAAAGAATTGAATATTTTAAAAGTAACACAGGAAAATTCAATTCATATGTTATGGTTAATACCACAATATGTTGTAATGACAATGGGAGAAGTTTTATTTTCTGTGACTGGTTTAGAATTTGCTTTTACACAAGCGCCAATAAGTATGAAATCATTATTGCAAGCTGCATGGTTATTAACAGTGGCATTTGGAAATCTCGTTGTGATAATTATTGCCGAAACATCACTAATGAAGCAGGTAAAAAAAAATTATTTCTATTTTTTGTTTGTTTCCTGGAAAATGGAAATTAAGTTTTTTTTTTCTTTTTCAGTCGTATGAATTTTTACTATTTGCCGCTTTGATGTTTTTGGATATGTTAATTTTTGCTGTGATGGCGATGTATTACAAATATGTTGTGATAACTGATGAATCTGAAGGTAATGGTAATGGTATTCCCATGAATGGAAAACATGGATCAATCAACGCGACATTTGTGGAGGACAATGAACCAGTGAAGCGATAGTGCAAACATTTTTTTTTTTCATTACACGATTCATCATTTAAAAAAGGAATTTTAAAAATTCCTTAACAATTTTACGCTTTTGTAAATACTTATTTTTTTTGTTTTTACATTTTTTACTTTACTTTCCTTAAGAATAATATAGGGAAAAAAATATATATATATATTGTACTCGTTATTAGACATCGTTCGAACATTTTTCATTTATCCTTTTTAATTCATTTTCCTTATTATCATGCTTTTAGAGAACAAAATTTGTCTTTTCATTTGAGTGATTGTCTCTTTGAAATAGAAGTTTTTCGTAAAAAAAATCGAAATAATTTCACAGGTGGCGAAATGTGGATAAATACTGCTCCTTTGATGACTGAATATTTTGATACTGAAGAAAAAATTGAAGAAAATCATTTATAATTGATAATTGTCCTAAAAAATAAAAATCGAAAAGAAATTCGGGAAGATTTTTTTTTTAGTCAATAAATTGAAAATTCTATACATGTGATATCAGAATCTATCTCAATTTATTAACCTTGAATCGGAGCAAAAATATCGAAGAGCCTTTTTTTTTGGCTTTACTTTGGCAACTAAATAATACAAAAATGACGTACCACATTTATCTCCGGAGAATTCACGCATCAAATTTTATAATTACACAAAATTCTAATTAACGCTCGATCATATTCGGCGATTATTTACACACATATTTATAATAATCGTACAATAGAACCTATTTGTTCCAAGTCTTTAAAGCTTTTTTTTTTGTTGACTAAAAAAATAGAAAAAGAGGAACTAAAATAACAATTATGACATTTTTTTTTCTAGAAATGAAAAATTTAATTTACCTAAAGCGACAGTTAATTCTAAAATTATCTCTCTTCTTTGGTGTTAATTCCAAAATCAGAATAGACCTTTTTTATTATTGAAATATCTATAATTGAATAGAATAGAAATAAAATTCTAAGATTGAAAATTATCCCCCTTTGAAAGAGGAAGTTGATTAATTTTTTAAAAATATATTCTTTTTTGAGAAAAGAAAATTTTGAATGAAAATTAGATATATATATATAAAACATTGTATTTATGTAACGAGAAGGATAATTTTAGTATTTCTGGTTTAAGCTAATTCTGAATTCTGCCTCTTTGGTTTTCATGAAAAGACGATACGAAAATTAATTACTTTGTCCTAATTCAGAAATTATTACTGAATTAAAGTCTATTCTTAAATATATGAGAATATTTGGTCGCAGTGTATTTTAATAATAGTAAAAAATAAAAAAAAATATCGACTAGGAATGAAATTCTTGAAATTAAAAAAAGAAAAATATTTTCTAATGACCTGATTACCGGTGACTATATATATATATATATAATATATATTTATATTACACAACACGAGGAATGGAAAAAATGATTATGAAAATATTGCAATGTTTATGATATAGGAGTGACTCCTAATCAAATTGCTAGTTAGCTGGGTAATTCGGGACTAATAACTCTTTCTTCCCTCTCATCAATTTCAAGTGCAGATTGCGGTGAAGATGGTTCTTCGTCAAAATCTCTTTCATGATTATCAACAATTTCCGGCTCCTTGTCGGATGTTGTCACTAGTCGTGCCACTGTTGGTGCAATAGCAAATTCAACTGGTTCAATTTTATTATCTAGCCTTTCAATTTTATTTCCAATATTGTATTGATTTTTTTCATTATCATGATGAATTGTTGGACAATTTTCATTTCTCTCGTTTATTAATAACGAAACTTTTTTTTGTGATTCATAATTTGAATTATTTTCAATTATTGATTCTTGACATTCTTGTGTTCTTGATTCACCTTTGCCGGATACTAAATCTCGTGATGCAATTTTTTGATCACGTTTCATGTCGTATTCCTTTAGAATATCTGGAAAAAAAAGAATATATTTGTAAAAATTGGATTTTATTATAAAGAATTAATTAAAATTTCCTTTTTTAATTAGGAAAAAAATTGTTATTATTTTATTACTATTGTTATATTTTCGATATTCAAAAAAAAAAAAAATTGAAATTAGAAAATAATTAAATTCATCAAGTTTCAGATGATTTTGAATAAAAAATTTCGTAAATTTGAATTTCTAAAAAATTTTTGAAAAGAATTTTAAACAATAATTTGAATTTCAGAGAATTTACTTGAAAAATATTTTAAATAATTGAATTTTCGAATAATTTTATTAAAATTACAAAAAATAATTAATTTACCAGACTTTTTATATTCGAATTTTCAAAATAATTAAATTTTGCAAGAGTTACAGTTTATTCTAAACAAAATAAGGTATTTTTTTTAATTTAATAAATTAATTAATTTTCAATTTCATTTTATAAATTAAATCAAAAAATAATAATTTTAATAAATGTTTTAATAAAATTAAAATAAGTTTAATGAGTCGAAAAAAATCGTACAATCCGCGCGATGCAATATAATGAAGTGTAATAAAAAAAAACTTCGATATTCGATAATAATCTCATTATTTAAATTTGTTTTAAAAGTGAATGGAAAAAAAATAAATCCTGCGATCTATTATTTAATGAAGAAGCGATTCACTTGTAAAGCAATAGGGGTTTATTTTCACTTCGCGAACATCTCTCTCTCTCTCTCTATTTCAAAGAGAATTCACACACTGTATCAAGAGGCATCTCTTTATCAGAAACAGAATCTGCGTTTGGCATAGTCAACTTCTGGAAATGAGTTATTGATGAGTTTCTCGACTTGTTTTGCATCGCGCAAATGACAAAAGAAAATTTTCTAATTTTCCTGATTTAGATATAAAAATTACAATTTTCATTTTTTATGTTTTTGTTTTTTTCACTAAATTCTCACAAAAAAAGAGAAAAAAAATATTGTAAAATTGTTTTTTATATTCTTGGATTTTAAAAACATTTTAAAAAACAAAACTGTCACTCTATATAAATATTTGTTTTACCATTTTTGAGATAAAAATAGAATTTCTTTTTTTGCAAATTATTTTCAATTAACAATAGAAAAGAAACTAAATTGAAAAAAAAATGGAATTTTCTTTTTTTTTAGATTATAATTATTTAATTCAATAACAATTTTCAACAATTATTTCTCCTTTTTGCTGACAGTTATTATTTTCATTTTATTATTTTAACATTTTATTTCGAGCTTTATAGACCTTTTATAATTTATTACCTTCATAATTTATTATTTTACATATATTTCCGATTATAAAAGCATTTTTGAGTGAAATAACAAAGAATCGAAATTGTAATAAATTGCAAAAGGCATTAAATAATCAACATTATTAATAATAATTATTATTTTATTAATAATATTAAAATTAATATTTATTAGATAAATATATATTTATGAATTTAATAATTTATTGATATATTTATTCATTAAATTCAATTTTATTATTTAGTAAATTTAATTGTAATTAAATTAAAATGAATTAATATTTAATTTTTAAATTTTTGATTTAAATTTAATTTTACATTGAAAATTATAAAAACAAAATATTACAATTTCAATAAAATAAATTAATATTTCAAATTATTATTTTTACTACTTTTTAGTTTTTATAAAATTAGTCTCAGAATACAAAATTTAGATATTTTTGGAATTACAAATTTTTTTTCTTTATTTTTGAAAAAAGAAATAATTTACCAGTGTCTTTGAGACGATCGTCATTCATTAATTGAAGATCAGAATCATAATTCCTGGATATGTAGATTGATTGCATGGATCTTTCTGATGGACCAGTTGATACTGAGGATGATAATCTCTGATTTGTTGGATCACTATCGGATACTGATACATCACTGATTAATAAAGAATTATTTGAATCCGAGCTACATTCAACTGACGTTCGCAAAGAATCTTCCTTCATTGACGAATGCTTCGATTTTACTGATGTTGTTTTTGGATTATTCTGATTTTTATGTTCCGCAGCTTCGGCATTGCTTATGTTGTCCTGCTTTTTCCATTTTGTCCTTCGATTTTGAAACCAAATTTTCACCTGTAAAATAAATTAAATTATCAGTGAGGGAAAATTAAATTGAAAATAAAATTAACAATAAAACGAAAAATAAAATTAAAAATACAATTATTATTATTATATAATAATAAAATGCTTGGTCTGTCCTTCTGTCCTAACTTGAAGTTGGCCTTTTCTGATTTCACGTGTTTTTTTGAATAGTAATCTTATGACGTGTCAAATTTTGACAATTCTTTTTCACATTTTTGCCAAAGTTGTATAATTGTGTTTCCAAAGTACGGAATAAGTTTCTTTAAAATTCCAAATTCGAAAATTCAATTCACGAAGCTGAAGTACAAAACGTTTACCAATGAAATTTTTTTTAAAGTTGTATATTGATTCAAAAATTGTATACAAATACAAAAAATTTATGATGAGAAAAAAGATGCGCCAGGAAATTTCGTACAAGATAGTAATTTGAAAAAAATTTATTTTTAAAAATTAATTTTCAAGGTACTAGGGGCCAACGAATACCTATTAAATATTAATTATGAAAACACAGTCCTCGAATCAACTTAACGACACAAAAAGTCGTTTTAGACGATTTATATTCCAAAAAAGTGGATTTGTTTTTTATTTTAACAAAAATATTTTACAGATTTTTAAATAAAAATTTTTTTTTAATAATAATCCTTTTCGAAGGGTTAAAGTTGAAATTTTTAGAAATAATTAAATTTCAAAAGATATTGTTAATTTTCAATTATTAAATTTTACAGTACTAAAAATAATTTATCAAACAATTTTTGGAAAACATTTTTAAAATTTAATTGGATTTTCAAAGATTTAAAATTGAGATTTTTGAAATTAATTGAAACTTTTAATTAATTAAAATTAAAATTAAATTAATTTAATTAAAATTTTAGATGATTTCACTAAAAATTTATTAGAAAATGCGGACAAAATACAATAATTTGAAAATCATTTTTAATTGAAAAATGGTTTCAAATAGTTGAATTTTTAAAGAATATTATTAAAATAGTTAAAAATAATTGAATTTCCTTAGAGTTATAATTGAAATTATTAAATTTCAACAAAAAAAAATTTCGATGGAAAATTTTATAAATAATTAAATTTTAGATGCTTTTAAATTCAAATTATTGAAAATTCAATTAATTTTGAATTCAAATTTTTGAGAATAATTAAATTTTATTTGATTTTAAAGTTGGAAAATAATTGAATTTCAGTTAATTTTGAATTGAAAATTTTGGGAAATAATTGAATTTTAATTGAAATTTTAGATAATAATTTAATTAAAGTTCATTTTTGATTGAAAATTTGGATAATTAATTTTGAATAGAAATTTTAGAAAATATATGAATTTTATTTTATTTTAAATTGAAAACTTGGTAAATAATTAAATTTTAAATTGAAAATTGTGGATAATTATTGGATTTTTAATTGATTTCGAATTAAAATTTCGGGTAATAATTGAATTTTAGTTTATTTTGAATTCAATTTTTTAAAAAATAATTCAATTTTATTGTGATATTTTTTTTAAAATTATAAACAATTGTTAAATTTCATAAAAATTTTAATTGAAAAATAATTTTGATGTAATTGAATTTGTGATGTATTTAATTAAAATTATTAAAAATAATTAATTTAGTGAAGAATCATTTTAGTTCAAAATTTGTTAAATAATTGAATTGAAGAAGATCTGAAGAAGATCTACATTTTATACTAGAAAAATGTATTTTATTTACATTTTTTTTCAAATGTAAAAAAAAATGTCGCATTTTATTAAAATAAGTCGATAAAAGTCGTATTTTTGAAAAAAGTCGGAAAAAGTCGTATAATCCGAGGCCTGTAAACATATAATTTTCATTATTATCATTTGATATGTAATAATATTCTAATAAATTAAATTATTATTGATAATATTAATCTTTAATTTCTTTATAACAAACAATTAAATACTCCATTTGGTGCGCTTGCGCGCGTTTAATTTTGCTAGTTAATAATAAAATTACTAATAAAATTGAAAATACAATTGAAAATAAAATTACTAATAAAATTATCAATAAAATTGAAAATACAATTAAAAATAAAATTACTAATAAAATTATTAATAAAATTGAAAATAAAATTAACAATAAAACGAAAAATAAAATTAAAAATACAATTTTAGCAATAATTAAATTTCAAAAGATATTGTTAATTTTCAAACAATTATTACGAAAAATGAAATTAAAAATACAATTAATAATAAAATTATTAATAAAATTGAAAATAAAATTAACAATAAAACGAAAAATAAAATTAAAAATACAATTTTAGCAATAATTAAATTTCAAAAGATATTGTTAATTTTCAAACAATTATTACGAAAAATGAAATTAAAAATACAATTAATAATAAAATTATTAATAAAATTGAAAATAAAATTAACAATAAAACGAAAAATAAAATTACCAATAAAATTGAAAATACAATTAAAAATAAAATTACCAATAAAATTGTAAATAAAATTAATTTATTTATCCAAAATATTATAAAAAATTAATTAGTTATAAAAAATAGTAAAAATATTTAAAAAACAAAAATTTTGGTGATAAAATCAACTAATTTTCATTATTTTTGGTTTTTATTAATTTTTCCTAATTAAAATTGATTAAAAAATCGATTTTCAAGGGAATTTTTGTGTTTAATTAATTTTTTTTATGAAATTGAACAGGTAAGAAGACTATCGTTGAGACAAATGTATATATATATATATAGATGGAGAAAATAGTTGCGATGATAGGACGCGTCCAGAGGATGAAACAGATTACGCGCACATGCCACAATAATAAGCACAAAGCGACAGGCCGGCTGGTACCAATTGTCTCTGATTGCCTCTAATGGTTCTGATAGCCGCTGATATCCAGCCACCTACTTACATGCAGCCTGGCACTTATGTATGTTTCACCGTTAAACACGCGTGTGGCTTCTTAACCAATTATTCGTTATTCTCCATGTATATATATCTATATAGAATTTATAACCACATGTGTGTATATATATATATATGTATATATTCTCAATATTAGCTTTTCTCCACCTCACCCCCCCTCTGTATATATGTGTCATAACATTATTTTATTATTTTCAACTCTCCCATATTGTATCGTTGATTTCCCTTCATCAATTTCTATTAAATTTTATTTTTGATATTCAAAATAAAAATCAAGGTGGAAAAAATTTAGATTGTTTAATAAAATGGAAAATTGGTTTTTAGAAAATTGTGGGCAGAATTTTGTGTTAATTTTTATTGTGTTTTTTTTATATTTATTATGTAATTTATTTATTTATTTATATATTAATAAAAGCAGGAGAAAAAAATTTATTACTATTTGAAAACAAAAAAAAAGAAAAAAAAAACATACAAATTTGATAATTTTGACGATATTTTGTATTTATTAATTTCTGTTATATGTTTTCGATTCTTATGAACAAAATCACGTGGTAAAAAAATACTACGATTTAAAAACAAAAAATAAAACAAAATTGAAAATTATGACAAACTTTTTTATTCATCAATTTCTATTATACATTTTATTTACGATAATCAGAATGAATTTTTTTTAGATATTTTACAAAATAGAAAATAAATTTGAAAAATTTTGAGAAAAAATTTTTATATTTATTAATTTTTATTTTATTTTCGATATTTATAAACAAAATTGCGAGGAAAAAAATTTACTACTATTTAGAAAGGAAAAAAAAACAAAAATTGAAAATTATACCGAAATTTTGTATTTATTATTTTTTATTATTTTATATTTTCGATAATCAAAATGAAAATCACGATATGAAAAAAATTTAGTTATCTAATAAAATAGAAAATAATTTTTGACAATTTTAGAAAAAATTTTGTATTTATCAATTTATTAGTATCAAATATTTATTTTAATATTTTCAATATTCAAAAAAATATCACGATGAAAAAAAATTAAGATATTAAAAAAAAAAAAAAAAAAATTGGAAAATTATGTCCAAAATTTCTATTCCATTGTTACACAATAAAAAAAATCATGGTAATTTGATTTTCATGACTAACAAAAAAAAAAAAGAAAATTAAAATACAATTCGATACAATTTCCATACTTATTCATAATATTTTCATTGGATTTTAAAATTTAAATAAATTTAAATAAATAAATTCAAAAATAAAATAAAATCATTAGGAAAAATTAATACATAGAATTACGAAATTTTAATTAAGGAGCAAATTTTCAAAGCCTGATAAATCCATATTTTCTTATTTCGAGAAATTGAAAAAAATGACTTTTCGCATTTTCGGAAATTGAGAAATTAGAAAAATTGGTAGGGAATGAATTCAAAATTAAAAAAAAAAAATCATTAGAAAATTAGGAAACATTAATAGATTAAAAAAATTTTAATAGGAATTCGTATTTTCGGAAATTGAAAAATTAGAAAAATCGGCAGGGAATAAATTCAAAATTAAAAAAAAATCATTAGAAAACATTAATAGATTTAAAAAAAAATTTAATTAGGAAAATTATAATAGGAATTTGCATTTTTGAAATTCAGAAATTAGAAAAATCAACAAGGAAAAAGATAATTGACATAAGACTGAAAAATCTCCACCAAGGTAAATATTTATATAAAGAATGAACTGATAATAATAATGATTGATGTATTTTGTCTTCATAATATTCATGAGAATATACATATATAATGAAGAATTGAAGAAAATGATTTAGAATTTTGAGAGAGGGATGAAAAGGGGCAGAGGGATATATCTATAGAGAGAGAGAGAGAGAGAGAGAGAGAAAGCTTATCTGAGAGAAAATGTACATCAGTCAACGTCAGTGAACCGTACATAGAGGACATAGGATTCACGAAAATGAGACAAGTGTAGGAGACACCCCGTATACATATCCGTTTATGATACATGCGATACTGGCAGACGCGAGTTGCAATCATATCCCGTAATATTATTATCGGTGATATATGAGCCACGCCATTGTCGTGTCCTGGAGGCTGGATACTGGTAGTCCGGGTTTACTAATTAACATAATGTTTGCGTTGCTAACTGTTGAAATATTCACCTCCTCCCCTCCCCCCCTTTCACCCGCCATCAACTCAAAATTGCACGACGGAAACATATACTCAAAGTAACGGCAATTATATTTATGACGTTATTGAAATTCAAGATTTCATTTATATTTAGGGAAAAAAGATTTTTATTTTTCTCTCCTTTTTAAAATTGGAAATCAGCGAAATTTTTGAGACACATGAATAATATTAATATTCTCCCTTAAAAATTAATTTCGAATTTTCATTTGACAGAATTTTTTATTTTTAGATAATTACGTTAAATTACCTTTAGGAGGATTTTTCATTTCTTTGAATTATTATTATTATTTAATGGAAATTCCAATTTAGTTCAATTTTTGTATTATAAAATTGTTACATTTAATTTTCATTTTTCAAAATTTTAATTTTTACTGAATTTACGAATTTTTCTTTATTAGATTTATTTATTTAGAATTTATATTTAGCAGAATTTTTAATTTTTTCCAATTATTATTTAATCGAATTTTTTGTATTTATTGTTACTTAAACGACTTTTAATTTTAAAGAATTTTTATTATTTTTTGTTATTTATAAATTTTTTTGAAAGAAAACACTAATTTTTTGTAATTTTTTTTATTATTTATATTTTTATTATTTTGAATTTGATTTTATATCGATAATTGAGTAAAAATAAATAAAAAAATAGATAAATAAAATAAAAATAAATAAAAATTCGTCGTTTTAAGAATTCTGACCAATTTCGAACAAAATGAAAATTCGGCTAGAAAATAATTCTTTCTAATTATTATTTCTGAAAAATAAAAATTCTTATAAATTTTACTATTCTGTCTAATGAAAAATCGAGAAAATAATAATTTTGTTAAATACAAATTCTTTTTGGAAAAAAAATGAAAATTATGAAAACGCCAAATTTCATGAAACTTAATTAAATTGGAACTATTAATTAAATTATTAGATAAATAATTAGTTATTAATTATTATTATTATTATTATTATTATTATTATTAGTTAATATTAGTTATTAAATTTATAGTTAAATTTGAATTTCTGTTAAATAATAATTCGAAGAAATGAAAATTCCGAAGAGCCAAAAGTTTTGAACGTTCAAATGAACAAAATATTTTTTTCAATCTATAAATTATTAGAAATAATAATGTCAATGTAAAATAAAACAGTAAATTAAACAAATATTAAATTAATAACTTCTTTTTAGATATTTAAAACAATATTTTGTAATAAAATTCGTACTTAAAGAAGTTACAAAAAAAATTTTGTTCATTTGAACGTTCAAAACTTTTGGATCTTAAATTCCGCCAAAAATTAAATTCTAGATTAATAAAATTTTGTCAAACAAAAATTCTAGTAAATTAATTTTAAAGCTTATTCATGCTTCTCAAAATTTTATACTGATGAAAATATAGAAAAAAAAGTAACTAAAGCACTTGAGTTGAAAATCTCCTCTTATATTCAGTTACATTTCACTCTGAAAACAAATAAAATTATTACAAATGGAAATAATTATTTAAACAATAAAACAATAAAATAATAAAAAATAATAATAAAACAATAAAATAATAAATAAATAATAAAAAATAATTGAATTAAAATAAAAAAAAAATTTGGTATTTGTCGTCGTGGTATATAAATACATAAAATAGAAAAAAAAAAAAAAAATAATATTGAAAAAGCAAACCTGTGTTTCTGTGACGTTAAGAAGTTTCGCCATATCAGCACGCTCCGAGGAGCTCAGGTACTTTTTGATTTCAAATTGTTTTTCTAATTCAAATATTTGCCGTCCCGTAAATGTTGTTCTTGCTTTTTTCTTTTTTCTATCCATTTCAGCGTCTTCACGTTCCTCTGAATTAACATCGCTCACAACTTTTATCGATGACAATGATGTCTCTTTTGCACTAACTTCCGCTCGTTTTCTCTTTACCGATGTCAGCTTCGTACTCTCTGAATCATAAATAAAAGTACATAATTAGTCAAAAAATGAAAAATAATTTTTTTTTTTTTTTAATAAAAAATTAGTAAAACAAATAAAAAAAAAAATTTGTTCTTAATTAAAAGTTTGAAAAAAAAGGGGAAAAGTCAAAAATTTGACTATATATACAATTTATGTGTCTGATTGACCAGTTAAAATACACGAGTCAAGTTATCATTATTAGCCATCATTGATCATTTCCGTCATACTTAAACGCATGGTCAATCAGTGACAAACGACTAAAATTTCAGTTGTTACTTTTTCCTGATTTCTGTATATATATATATATATATATATATATATATATATATATATACAGATTCGATCTTATTTAAGAAGAAAATATTATTTTTTTGAACAAAATTTTATGTTATACAAATATTTTTTTTTTCTACAACAAACATTATTTAAACATAAATAAATCCATATCCAATTGAAGCAACTTCGATCGAGTGTGAGAAAAATATTCACTTCCCTAATAACACAAGATATCTTCCCTCACAACAAAAGGATATTCAGGATATCCTTGGGACGTCCTGGGGATATCGATTTGTTTTCGGCGGTTTGGATATCCCTGGGATATCTTAGAGATGTCCATGGATATCCAGAGGATATCTTAGGGATATCCGAATCGCCAAAAGCAAATGGATATCCCCAGGACGTCCCAGGGATATCCTGAATATCCTTGTGTTGTGAGGGTTGGGATATATTGATAATATCCCGCAGATATCCTAGGGATGTCCTATGGATATCAAAAGGATCTCTTAAGGATATCCAAAAAATCGGCGGTTTGGATATCCTTTGGATATCCCATGGATATCTGAGGATATCCACAAGATATCTTCTGGATATCTCTACAGACTTTCATAAATGTCCTCCAGATATCCCACAGATATCATCAGGATATCCCATAGATATCGTCAGGATATCCCACAGATATTTTCAGGATATTCTCAGTATATCTTCTGGATGTCAAGAAGACAAGTTCTCAGGATACTGTTTTTAAAGTCATTATGACACTACGAGTGAGAATATTCTGTGAATTAAATTTTATATAAATAAAATAAAATGCAACTTGTTTTTCGAGAAAGTTGTTTAATTTGAAAAATTATTAACTAATTATTAATTACTAATTATTATTAACCCTCACTGCACCAGATATCCTAGGATATTCCAAAAACATCCCTTGGATATCCTAGGGATACCCCAGAGATATCCTAAGGATTCTTTAAGGATATCCAAAGTAGCGGCGGTTAGGATATCCAAGGGATATCCCAGGGATATCTAAGGATGTCCCTAGCACGTCACAGGGATATCCTAATTATTTCCCCGGATATTATTAGGATATCCTGTGGATATCCTTAGAACGTCCCAAGGATATCCTCAGGACGTCCAATTACGTCCTAAGGTAACATCCCAGATTTGAAAGATGATTGACAATCACGGGAAACCCATTTGTATCAAAAAATCGCTATCTCAAATAGTCAAAATTTGAATCATAATGATATTCTAGGTAGATCTTAGCGATATTTCTAGAATATTTTAACGATATACTAAGTTTATCCCAAGAATATCCCCACGATATCACTAGGATATCCCTGGAATATCCCAGGGATATCCCTAGAATATCCTCAGAATATCCCCTGGATATCCCAAAAATATCCTACGAAACGGCCGTTTTTTATGTTCTGAGGATATCCTCATGATAACCTAGGATATCCTATGGACGTTTTCAGGATATCCTTAGGATATCTTTTTGTTGTGAGGGAAATCTTCAATTAAAATAAATTAGAAGCTCATAAGATTTTTGTTTTTATTATATTATTATTCATTATATTAGCTTAACAATTTTAACCTTTCGAAAGATATGTTGAGATATTAAATATCCCGTGAATATCCTAAGAATATCCCACGGATATCCTGAGGATATCCCACGGACATCCTGAGGATATCCCATGGATATCCTGCGATATAATATCCAATAGATATTTTGTGGATGTCTTAGGGATATCCTGTGGATATCCTATGGATGTCCTGTTGATATCCCACAGACCGGCGGTTTTGATATCCTGGGGACCATTCTAAGGTATCGACCATTGATATGGATATCCTAGGGATATCCTTTTGTTATGAGCGTTTTAATATGAAACATAATTTTTCTATCGAAATTTTATTTTAAAAATTTCTAGGTAACTAAATTTTTTTTTGTCAACCATTATTTGAACATTAAAAAAATTGATTCTTTATTTTAATTTTTTCTTTACTTTATAGTTTATTTGGATTAAATAAATAATTAAATTAATTAAATAAATTTTTGTATAAATTAAACAAATTTTGTTTTCGCAAAAAAAACAAAATTGTGTTTTTATTATATAATTAGTTACAATAAAATCCTTATAAGGAAAAATACTGTTATATAATTTCTTATAAGTATATTCATTCGTGGGAGAATATTGAAATTGCGTAATACGAAATATTGACAAAAAATTATTTCCAATACAAATTTATTTATAAAATTTCAAATATGAGATATTATTTAAATGTAAATTTTCTTTTATTACTTTTTTTTTAATTTTAATTTTCTTCTTTACTGTGTCATTATTATTTTTTTTTTCTATTTCTTTCATCTTAAGTTAACAATTTACTTTTGAATGGCGTTATCACACTTTTTTTAATGAACGTTTAAAATTTTATTCCTTTAATTCACTAAAGAATAAAAAAAAAGATAAATAATAGATAGAACATTTCATTCTTAAATAAAAATTTTCATGAATTATTTAAATCAGTATAAAAATTTAATGACTATTAAATATTTACTTACTTATCTAGTCATATATATATAGGAGGTTTAAATTAATTTTCATTTATATAAGCGAGAAAAGGGGAATTTTTTTTTATTTTTTTTTTTTTTAAAATAATGATTAATGTTTCGGATTGATTTTCAATATTATTCTATTTCTATTTGAATTAAAAATTGAAAGAATTAAAAAAAAATTTAAGAAATTTCAATAAGTATAGTATTGCAGGTAAGGACCTGACTAGCGCCCTATTTGAGATTACACCCGGAAATAATGGCTAAATCCCTAAAATAAAAAAATTATTAAAACACTAGTTTAGAAATTCCATTTAATTGTTATCAACTATTTTTTTTACAAAAGATAATATTAAATACTAAATTTTTTTACATTTTTTTCCAAATAGGGAAAACTGTCGAGACCCTGATCAGAGCCCCATTTCAAATAGGGTCAAAGTGAGGTCAATTATAAATATTTTTCCAAAAAGTAACTTTAAATACTTAATTTTATTAGCATTTTTTTCAAACAAGGAAAACTGTCTAACCCCCTACTAAAGTTTCTACAAAACTACATAGTTCCTAAAAAGTTTAAGTATCTGGAAACTAGACAGTTTTCAAATAGTTTCAAAATCTAAAAATTAGATAGTTTTTGTATAGCTTACGTGTCTAAAGGCTAGATAGTTTTCAAATAGTTTATGTATCTAGAAACTAGATAGTTTAAGTATGTAGATGGTTAAAAAATTAACAAGATAATAAAAAAATTTTGAAAAATAAAAATATAAAAAATTACCGACACAAAAAACTATCTTACCGACTGATGGTAAAACAGTTTTGAAAAATTAATAAATTTTCAAAAATCCTTTACCATCAGTCGGTAAGGTAGATTTCTGTGTCGGCAATTTTTATTTTTTCACTTTTCAAAAATCTGTCTTACCATCAGTCGGCAAGGTAGATTTCTTTGTAGGTAATTTTTATACTTTTAGTTTTCAAAAATTTGTACCCTACGGTGAAATAACCCTAATAATCACGTAGCGCTCGCAAATGAAATTCGATTCTGCAAACGCACATTACAAAGAATTTTAGTATCTAGAAACTAGACAGTTTCCAAGTAGTTGCAGAGTAGTGCAAAAACTACATAGTTTCCACATATATTTGTAGTATCTAGAAACTAGATAGTTGTAATATAGTTTTGGTATCTAGAAACTAAATAGTTTTTTTGTATAGTTTATGTGTCTAAAGACTAGACAGTTTCCAAATAGTTTAAGTATCTAGAAACTGTACAGTTTCTATGTAGTTTACGTTTTTAAAAAATAAAAAGTATCGAGAAAGTAGATTAATTTTTATATAGTTTATGAGTATAAAAAATCAACAGTTTCCATGAAGTTTAAGTATTTAGAAACTAGCCAGTTTCCTCATAGTTTCAGTATCTAGAAAGTAGATAGTTTTAATATAGTTTCAGTATTTATAAACTAAATAGTTTTCGTATAGTTTGTGTCTAAAAACTAGATAGTCTCCAAAAAGTTGAAGTATCTAGAAACAACATAGTTTCCACACAGTTTATGTATCTAAAAACTAGATAGTTTCCAAATAGTTTAACTATTTAGAAACTGAATAGAATAACTGTTCTGACTTTTCCAAATAATTTAGATGTGCTAGATAGTTTCGATATAGTTTCTGTGTCTAGAAACATGGTTATTGTAGCGTTACATTTCTAACTAGTTTCGATATAGTTCTTCTATACAGCGGTTATAGAGAAAATAGTATAACTATATAGAAACTATATAGTAACTGTATAGAAACTATATAGTAACTGGATAGAAACATGAAATATTATTAATAATAGTTAATAAATACCTAATTTTTCAATTAGGGAAAACTATCGACACCCTGAACAAAGCCTACTTTCATTACATTCAAAGGAGAACAATTATAATTTTTTTTACAAACAATATTGTTAAATAATAATTTTTCTCAAACAAGGAAAACTATCTAGATCCTGATCAGAGCCTTATTTCAAATAGAGTCAGTGTGACATTTTCTGCATGTATTTTTCTTCCCGTGTCTTTCAATTCATAATTATTACGAATCCATCCTCGAGTAGAAATTTTCCAATCTGTTCTTGACCTGGTTAAAACAGGAAACCCGATCGGGGCCACGCCAGGCTCTGGTTGGGCCCTG